GTATCTCGAATAATCTCACAATTTACGTACAGGTCTATTATTAGAATATTCTTAAGCTGTTTTACGAAGGCTGACATTTAAGAAGAATATGATAAACCGGAATTACTCGCGATTACCTAGGCCAGAATTAGGTAACCTGCTGCTTTAATACCAAGTCTTTACTAAAACTGTATAATTATTAATTTAGAAGATAGGAATTCCATTAGTACACAACCTTTACGAAGGATTATGAAGCTTACAGTGTAATAAAGTCATCCTTTTTTTTCTCTTAACTGTTTACTTAGGCAGTTTCAATCACAAGTCACGTTCAACTCCCATTTCCATAGTATTCGGATCAATAACGCTGAACATAGGAACCAACTGGAGGTACTACGTGCGAATAGCAAAAAATGTTTAGGGGCATTTTTTTTTTTTCATATAAAAACTTGGCGTTATCTGCGGGCGTTTAAACGTTGCGTGACCCCGAATTCCTCACATATATCAACTAACGACCGAAGGGGCTCGACAGATTGCCTAGCACAACTTTCCCGGCATCTATCAAGTGCCTCACAGACACTTCCAACTTGAGTGTCCCTGACATTTGTTCTTGAAAGCTATTTACAATTCTTTTATAGTTTTACGAGTCTAGTTATAAGTAGACACTGTTGAAGTTTTCTGATTGAATTGAACCAAAAATTACTACCGTTTAGTTTGCGGTTTATTTCAGGTTCTATAGTTGTTATTACACCAAATGTTTTTGTTGAAGTAGCATTCCATTTTCGTATAAGAAAATTCAAAATTGCCAAAAGCGTATCTGCAACGCTAGAGTATCGTATGTGTGACCCATAAACATGGCAAAATACTCTATTTCATTACAGCGCTAACTACGACAATCGTTTCCGGCCTGTGTCAACATAGTATCATCAACAATTAAAACAAATGAGCAGTAGGGAGGAACCCAGCTCCACACTTGTGTAAAAAATATACAATAACAAAAACAAGGATATCGTTTAAACATAAGTTTAACAGGAAAATAACGTGCGTCGCCAACTGTTATGTATAACTACAGAGCGCCAGAAACCGCTAATCACAGATGACGTAATTAATTAAGAAATTAAATTTAAACTTGACGGTGTTATGCTCAATTATAAAATGATATTATTTGTTTTAATTTAATACGGCAAGGTTAAGATCTAAACTTCATAACACGGTAGCTAATGTGCATTAAACTTGCATACAATACTATGTAGTCATAGTCGGTAGCAGTCTAGAATTAGCTAAGTTTAAACGGTTTCTTGTTTGTTATCAGACTATCTTGCCTGTTTATTCTAATTGGAATTAAACTACATTGTTATTGTAACCGTTTTAGATTAAAAATTCATGAGAAAATACATCCGGGCCGTTATATTCAGTTCCGCGTCGTTTTGTTACCGCGCTTAAACAGCTTGCCCTCTTAAAAGCAAGGTCATTGAATGGACGACTGGTTCATTAACAATGCTCAACATTTAATAAGGTTCCTAATACTGGTGTAACTGACAAATTCAGGAAAATTATTTAAAAACTACTTCAAATGTGTAGCAATTGAGCTGCAAAAGCTTCAACGCATTGTACGGTTATTGTGGTAAACCAGTAAATAACGGGGTTCAGACTTTAATGCGCGGTTGCAGTTTGATGACAGTCCATTGTCCATACGACTTGTCGCTACTAATTACGTTGTATAAGATTTTCCGTTCGTTCTGAACATAGACAAAGATTTAATTAATACCCTAATATTCTTTTATAGAAATTGGCTGAGACTCAACCACCGGATGTTTATGGGGTCAACGATTTGTTTAAACAAAAATAAATTGTTATGAATAAGTGCCAGAGCCGAATCCATGTGTTACAGATTAACGAATTATATCATGAAGATAAAATACTTTTAGGTCATTAGTAATTGTATCAACCCTGACCATTGAAACTGGGAAAAAAATCAGCAATTTTTACGAGTTTGTTCGACTGTTTTATATTGGTTTTATACTTATCCGAAATCGTTTGAAACGGGCTTACGGTCGTGCGCCTAGCAACATAACAGTCTAATGCATAATGTCACAGATTTTACTACATTCATATAGTATTGAGCTCTATGTTTACATCTGTGTAAATGTGATTTACAACAAAGGTCCCCTTGGAATCCTGTCAACACTATCTGTTAGCGATAATTTAGAAAGTGTAGTCATCTACTAGGCTCACCCACCAGAGGACGAACACGTACAAAATTCCTACTTATGTAATACCTATACTTATGTACATAATTTGAAACATTTCCAATTTACAGTTTTAGCCTTAACTTCCAAATTTTAGTATATTTCCAATTTTCCCATTTCTCTTAGCAATATAAATCATTAACTACCTATGTATAGTTGAATGGACAGGAGACAGCACTATGTTATCTTAATCTGTACATCTTTTATTGACTAATGATTGTTTACTTAACCACTGCCCTTATCTACAAGTGGAATATTAATATTTTGAGGCAAGTTATGACAACATCAACATCTCGACGCAGTTATTATGATTTAGGAGAGTGACTCATACACAGGCAACATGAAATCTAGCAGTCGACAGTCGACGCGACCGACTTATTGTGTGATGCTCGGCTCGAAACATGAAAACATAGCCTTAACAACGATTTCATTGATTTATTCAGACAAAATATGTACACACTCCAGCGGCGACTCCAAACCATATAAAAATATAATACAAAGCTTAAAAAACACGATGATTAAGCTGTATCGACGCGGGAATGTATCGGTGTCGTCGGCGAAACGTTAGGAATCACGGTCACTCACTCGAGTTAGCTTTGGTACCTCGTAAATGCACGGGTCGCTGTCGCTGAGCACAGCACTGAGAGTCAGACGCTGGCCGCTCGGCCGGCCTTCACCGCTAGCTAGAGCGCGGCAGACTCGGGCGCCATCAACGGAGACAGAGGGCCTGCCACGCGCCGCCCGCGCTCCAGCTCGAAGCGCAGGTCGGGCGGCGCGCGTCGGCCTGTCGCACCATCCTCGGGCAGGAAGGCCGCCACTAGCAGCGCGCAGATCACGAGCAGCGCGCCAAGCACGAACGGTGGGCCCGGCACCATGCGCACGTATTTCTCCTCGCTCGGCTTGCCTGGCACTGCGTGCTCCTCGTTCAGGTCCACGTGGAACAAGTAGAAGATCACACCGAACATGGCGGGGCCCAGTCCATTGCACAGACCGCGGACACCCGTCACCATGCCCTGCACCACTCCTTGTCGGTCTGCCCGGCTGTTCACGGACACGTATGCACTGATTGCAGGATATGTGACAGAACCGAGTGCAGCCAGCACTCCCGCAGCCCACATCATCCATGTACGACTGCCAAAGCCGTACCACATGAGTTGAAGCATCTCAAACACTAGTCCAACCATAATAGTATGCTTTGCTCCAAGCGATCTCATTAAGAATCCAAGAACCACTTGTACACCAATACTGAGCACTCCTACGATTGCAATAAATATTGCCACTTGGACTACACCAAAGCCCATCACTAACTTCAAGTACACAAATATGCACGAATACTGTCCAGCCTCGGGCAAATATGAGAGGAACACGGCCACACACAACATTAGCACTGTACGTTCCGCACCAACTTTCCTTAATGCCGCAAATGGGTCTGCTTGCTCCCAGCTTATAGCGGGACCCCAGCCACTGGGTCTGACCTTCTCTGGGAGGCTTTCAGGTACTGCGACCATTATGAAGAAAACATCCAGAATTGCGACAGCAGTGGCAGCGGCTACTACGAGTGACTCTCCATACAAATCCATAAGGTAGGCGCCCAGGGCAGGAGAGATGACCATGCTGGCAGCAAAGGTAGCAGACACAAGGCCGTAGGCGCGCGAGCGCTCCGCCTCGGTAGTCACGTCCGCCACATAGGCGAATACGATTGAAAACGTCACGGCGAATACTCCACTGATGCTGATCATTGCGAAGAACCACCATGTGTTGATGGTCATCAGCGGTATAGGCGCACACGTAAAGAACACTGTCACTAGTAGGAAGAACTTACGACCCCACACGTCAGAGAGCGCGCCTATCAGCGGCGCAGACAGGAACGACAGGATGCCCTTGATGCCCATTATTAAGCCGTTCATCAGGAACGTGTGATCCGGGAACGTTACATTCAGCACCGATATGATCGGCATCGTGAGCAGTCCCCACGCGAAAAACTCCAGGAATATCACGACTAAAGCGTGGAACACGGAGGGCTCACCGATGCCAGACATTGTCATAATCCCGTCTTTCATAACAGTTTTTCTATTCCGTATCACCATTTCTACTTCAGTTTTTGTGGTCTTCGTGGGCGTCATTTAAGATTTATATGGTTTATTTTCCTACAGAACTACTTATATTAGAGACATTTTGGAAACCTAAGCACTACATGGAGGAAAACTTGATAAAAACGAGCAAGTAGTAGCAACGTCAAAAATCCACTGGAAAATTGAAAAACAATTCGATATTTGTGTTGCCGTCATATAGCTCTTAAAATTGTACCAAATTTTTGAACTATTTATTGGTTATTCAATTTTTATTGTTTTGATATGCTTATGATTGTAAGTTTAAGTAACTATTTATTGTAAATCGTATTAAATGAATTGTTGTTACGTGTACGAAATCATAAACATGATTAAATCAGAATTTACATTATAAAATATAAATCCTACCAATTTAACATTGCTTTAGTTTTGGCAACACACCTCGAACCATAGACTTGTGTACCTATTTACAGAATAAGATCGTTAAATATTGCTCACAAAATTTTAATTCATTCGCAATTTTTTTTCCTTTTATTCCGAATTTTAAAGTACCTACCTATCTCGGGATTAGAGTTAACTTTTTTAGGACAACGGTGGAACAAAGTGCTAAAGATATGTAACTTTTGAAGAAAGGAACCTGGAACGCACAATCGATATGCGCACATAGACAAGTCATTACTGACATTATGATTTTTCTCTTGGATTTGTCAAAATTGAAAGGAAGAGGAGGCGTCGACTCGTACTATTTTACAATCACAAATTAAAAATTACTAGATTTCATCTTTTACAAAATGGTAATCATTTTAGACTCGCATTACTGACGCTTAATTAAATTTTATACCATCTAAAAATTTATTTTACGTTCATTCTCCACAGATTCGTTTTATTCTCATCCAAAACCGAGCGGGTAAAACTAGATTGGCAAAATGGTACATGAACTTCGATGATGACGAGAAACAGAAGTTAATCGAGGAGGTGCACGCTGTAGTCACCGTCAGAGATGCGAAACATACTAATTTTGTTGAAGTGAGTTTAATTGTTTAAGAATTTAATTTTAAATGTCCTTAGAGACCTTGTACTTTAGCTTAAAAAATCTTTTATATTTTTGTATTTTATTACAGTTCAGGAACTTCAAAATCGTGTACAGAAGGTATGCAGGGCTGTACTTTTGTATATGCGTGGATGTGAATGACAATAACCTGTGCTACTTGGAAGCTATTCACAATTTTGTTGAAGTTCTGAATGAATACTTCCACAATGTCTGTGAACTGGACCTGGTGTTCAACTTCTACAAGGTAATTACGTCATTAATATGAAACCATATACATCTACTGTCATTGTGTGATAACTTGTCAGGAATTTGTGACATCCTGCCATTCATATTAGTCACTAACAAAAAATTTAAACTTCAACAACATTAAGAATTCTTTCAATCATCACATATACTGTCTAGACTATACTCTCTCATTACTTGTGCAGTTACTGAAGCAACTGTCTCATAGAGCATTCTTGTTAGGGAAAATGTCTTCTTTCTAATTCTAATTGTAATCTAGTATAGAGTTACAGTTATCAGTGTCAGCAGTTCGGACACGTGAGAAAGCATTGTGTTGCAAAAACACCTACTTGCGGCAATTGCGCCGAAGCGCACGAGAGCGACAACTGCCCTCATATAAAGGAAACAAATTTTATTCCTACTTGTGTGGCGTGTAAACGTTTTAAGAAACCTCATGATCACCGTTGTGGCTCGCCAGAGTGTGGAACCTATAAAATAAAACTTGAACAACTTATTCTCAATACAACCTATTAAATAAAGTATGGATAAGTTAACCATAGGGCAGTTGAATCTCCATAACGATAGGGTTGCGACGTCTGAGTTAGATAAATTAGTTGTCGATTATCAACTTGACATAGTTCTTATTCAAGAACAATATCAAAATACCCACTTACGGCACAGGGTAGTGCAGCTGGATGGCAGGTCGCGGGCTGGAATTTATGTCACGAGATCACCTAATTTCACAGTAACATCCATAGCTAATTTAATGACGTCACACTGTGCCGTCGCGGAGATTGCTTCGGGAAATTGTAAACTTTACGTTGTGAGCTGTTACTTTCAATATTCTGATTCAGTTACTCCTCATATTCACCACCTCCGTCACGTCTTGCAATCACTTGCGGGCTCCAAAATTATCATTGGTGCCGACGTTAACGCGTCTTCATCCTTGTGGTATGGCAAGGTTAGGGCTACTGACATGGAACGGCGCTGTGCTGTTGAGGAATTCATTGCTGAAATGAATCTCTCCATTCATAACACCCCTGATGCACCACCTACTTTTTGCAGCCAAATGGGCGAATCTTGTATTGACGTCACACTTTCTAGTGCGGACGTTAGCTTGGATAGGTGGCGTGTCCTACCAGATGCGTCGTGTAGTGATCATCGCCTGATCGTGTACGAATTTGTTTCAACATTACCCCAGGGTCCAACATATTGCAATGATAGCTTTAGGTACAAGACTAAGGGTGCGGATTGGAACTTTTTTAGTTCATTATTTGCATCCCAAGCCAGAGACTTCACTCGCAGAGATCTCTCGGCCGAGGAGGGCGCTGAAATCATGTCAGATGCCTTTACTTACTGTGCCGACGTTGCTTTTGGTCGCGGGTCCGTGACTAGTACGCGTAGATGCGACTGGTGGAATAACTATCTAGTCGAACAACGTAAATGCTTTCGTAAAGCGCGCAAACAGTTAAATAGACTAAAGAAACGTCAGGTAACCGGTACCGTTTTTGATGAAGCGCTGATTGCGTTTAGAGTTGCCAGGTCACGTTATAGGGCTTCGGTGGAGAAAGCCAAGGGTGATTTGCTACGGAGGGTTGTACAGAAATTAGATAAGGAGGGCCCGTGGTCGCCTCTATACCATGAGTTCAAAGCCAATAGATCCGTCGATCTGGCATTCGTACAGAACATAAAAGTCAACAATGTTCACACCACTGGTATTGAGGAGACAACGGAAGTTCTACTCGACGAACTTGTCCCTGACGATGTGCTCGAGACAGACAATGATTACCATCAACAGATTAGGTCGTGGGCAGCTATACCGCCGGAGTCACCAGTGTCTGATCTACCGTCCATCAACGAGCTCGTAACTATTGTTAAAACTTTGCCTTTAAATAAATCATCTGGTGAAGACAAAGTCTCAAATAAAATGATAATAGAAGCATGTAAATCCGCGGCTGATGCGATCCTAACTGTGTTCAACCGTTGTATCGCGGAAGGCGTATTTCCTCGTGTATGGCGACGTGGATTCATTCGCATAATCCCCAAGAATGGAAATAAACCCCCCGATGACCCTAAGTCATACCGGCCTATCACGCTTTTGCCATCTTTAGGGAAACTACTTGAGCGACTTATCGTTCCTCGTTTACTGCCAGGTGGACCAAAATTCCACAACAATCAATTTGGTTTCACTGTAGGAAAGTCTACTGTCGACGCGGCTCTTTCTGTCCGATCCATGGTAAATTCGTCTGAACACAAGTATATAGTAGGCATTTTTCTGGACATTTCCGGTGCCTTTGATAACGCATGGTGGCCAATGTTACTCTTAAAACTGAAAGGTCGTGGCTGTTTTAGTAACATATATAAATTAATATACACGTATTTCCTTCACGGTTCCGTTAAACTGAAGCTTGGTCATTGTTCTCGGTCGAAGTCTTTATCAATGGGATGTCCTCAGGGCTCGGTTATCGGTCCGTATTTATGGAATTTAGGATTTGATGATTTGCTCGCGATTCCCCTTCCTTGTGGCTGTACTTTGACTGGATATGCGGATGATGGCCTTTTGCTAGTACAGTCAAATACCCGCGCCGGACTGGAGAATTTGGCTAAAGACTGTCTCAGTAGGATCTCGCGATGGGGCGAACGAAATCGCTTAACTTTTGCACCCCATAAAACTTACCAGCTATTGCTTAAAGGAAATCTAAAGTCGTGGCCGTCTATTAAATTTAACAACGTTTCCGTAAAACGAAAGGAGTCGGTTTGCTATCTCGGTCTAGTTTTGGAAAAAAACTTTTCTTTCATTGAGCATATTAAGGCTATTAGTGAGAAAGCCAAAAAAAACTTCTATGCGCTGACGCGAATTTCAAAAGCCACCTGGGGTCTCTCTTTTCTTACGCTCAGGATCATATACGGAGCAACCTACCTGGGATGCGTGTGCTACGGGGCACCTGTCTGGGCTGATAGGGCCACAATAGGCGCGGTACGGCGAAAACTTCTTCAAGGCCAGCGTCTAGCCTTGATTTTCCTGTGTAAGGCTTATAGGACGGTTAGCACTGAAGCCCTACCTGTGCTCGCGGGCGTACTTCCGGTAGATCTTGAGGTGCAGCGACGTGCTGCTATGTACTACAGTGCGAGACCTAATTTGTCAGCAAGCTTTCTGGCAGAACGTGATAGAAATAAAATTGCAAGATTGTTTAAGCCAATAACGGACGTTTGGGATGAGCTTATAACTGAATGGCAGGGTAGATGGGCATCTTCTATTAAGGGCCGCCACCTGTATCAGTTCTTTCCATCCGTGCATGAGCGGCTGGAGAGGACATGGTTGGAGGTGGATCACTGTGTTGCCCAATTTCTTACTGGCCACGGCAACTTTAAAGGCAAATTGTTCTCATTTAAACTTATTGATTCACCATGGTGCCAATGTTCGACAGAGGAGTTGCGATACGAGCAGTCGGCCCATCACATACTCTGGGAGTGTGATCTCTGGCAATATGAACGTAACACTATGTTAAATAATTTAATTGTTTCGTCAGGTGTAGTTTATTATACGGACCTTGTGGAATCTAGAACGAATTTCCGTGCGTTTAGGCGTTTTTGCCATACCTATTATTGGAAGCAAGTATAACAGCTCACACATAGGACCCACTTAGTTTTTAGTCAAATTTCCGTGGTGCTTGGCGACTGGGCTTCACCCAGTTGTACAGTCTCTTCTTTGTGCCTTTAGGCTTAATTCATTCTGTCTCCTGCAGTAATTCACCGAGGGAAGTGAAAACCATAGTTTTTTCTTCTTCTCCTCTTATAATATCTTCTGATTCACTTCGTTGCGGGAACCAAGACAGTTACTCATGTCCCTGGGACGCGCCGGACTTCAGTGTTCCGGTGTTTTCATGGTTGTATCTACTGTAGATCCTGGCTTACAGGAGTTGCAGCGGTTTTGGGAGGTTGTGGCGGGCTTGTCCCATTAAAAAAAAAACATTATTTTCTAGAAGGTATTAAGTAAAAAATAATGCCAGTCCTTATTTTTTTAACACATAAATATTAATTAATTTTTAAAATTTTTCCTATTTGCAGGTCTACACTGTAGTGGATGAGATGTTCTTAGCAGGAGAGATCAGAGAGACGTCACAGACTAAAGTCCTGAAGCAGCTCCTTATGCTCAACTCCTTAGAATAAAATCTTCAAATCATGTTGCTGTGGAGGTGGCCGAGACAAAGTTATTGCAGACATGAAGTCTATGACAGTGGCCATAAGTAGCATTGCTCATTTACCATCAAGAGATCTGCCATCTATGTCTGCTATGAAAAAAAATGAGTCAATCTCATGAAATGGTCTACAACGCAAGATATTAAATAGTTAAGTTGCTGTGGATTCGAGTCTGTCTTCAATAATCTTGGCTAGTTCTACATTTAGTGTAATTTGTACTGTATTCATGTTCAGTGTTGCTATGGTAGAGAATACTAAGTATAATAAAATATTTTTAGTACTTCCTGGCATTTAACTCTCTAGTTTGATACCTAGGTTGAGTATAATGTCATTGTCATAGCCTTGCCAGTAGGTGCTATAAATATAAATAGTATTTATAACATAGTAACATTGATAAGTATTTAAATATTCACTGTTACAACATTATATTGTTACTAAATAAGATTGTATAAAGAATACTCATTCATTCCATCTTGTAGGAACACATTATATTATAGACAGTTTCAAATATATATTGTAGACGTAATATTATGTAGGCGAGTGGGAAGATAATGTGTTACATTAATAAATGTATGACATTTTCTAATTACTTATAATTATGTCCAAAAGGAGCTATCAATGTATAAACAGCACTAGTAGGTGTTAAATTGGAATAATTTCTCGCGATCTTAAGGATTCTATCATTCTAAATGGCTTAGTTCTAGCGTACGGCGCGTCGCGTTTCGCGCGCGCCTCAAAGAGCCATTAGACCACCACAGATAGGGCCCAACAAGGCCGATGCCGATTCGGAGTCGCGGAGAACCTAACGAGTAACCGGGGTTCCGGCTCGACGTGCAGGAAAAGGAACGGGGTGGTTTTTAGTCAGTAAGAGTCTGACACTCCCTCCCGCCTCACTCAGGCGGGAGCAGTCATTCGATGATTTTCCCCCCTTAAAAAAAGGGCTTAGTTCGGCGTTCGGCGGCGCTCTGATTGGCCTGCTCTAATGAACCATCCAATCAGATTCCACCTAGTTAAACGTAAAACAGACTCAAACTAAACTTCAAGTTCGAAAATAACCTTTTCAGTAATCTACCAATCGCTTTATAATGAAGTTACTTATTAAATTATTCCCAAAATGGAGAAATATTTATTTAATATTGAAGTTCTCAACAACAAGACAATGAAATGTTAAAGTATGTATTGTTCACCATCATAAGATCATAATGTAATGTATATAAACTGTAAGTATAAGAGTTTATTGGTGTATATTAGAGTAAATAAAATTTATTGCTTATTTAGACTCCCTTGTTTATTTACCTAAATACTTATATCTAAGGGTAAATTCATATTAGCGGCCAGTTCCTAATGTCAAAATACCACAGAAAATTCACCAGCCATTTATAAGAGGCCGTTCGCCGTCTTTAGCAGGCGCTTGGACAGATCGGCGAAGTGCGGGCCGAATATATAGCCAGACAGCAATTCTTCGCAACGCTTCGTTTCAATAAAAAACGAAAGTGTTCAATAAAACATGATTTATTTATAAAACATATATGTTTTACAAAAAGCGGTCATACAAAACTCGGCGATATAAAATACTATCTTTACCTAAGTAATTACAAAACTATTTTACAGAGAAAAGATGACATGTTAAAATAATTATATTGCACTCCAACAAACTGCTAAAATATAATAATAACAAAGTTCCTTGTTCCCCTCCTAGATAAATTAATATCTACGTATAACAATTACTGATAAATAACAAATTCGTACTTGGTGAGCCACGCATCGTGGGCCGACTCGAACGGAGTAACACCACGGCCTTAAATCGACGTGAATCAACGCTCGCCCTTTGTATCGCCGTGTCAGTGAAGTTACCCAATACTTGTAGCACCTGGAGTTGCGGATGTCTATGGGCGGCGTCGATTGCTTACCATCAGGTGATTGTTTGCCGTAAATCGACAATATTATCAAACCTCAAAATCAAGAAGGGCAGAGCAGATAACCCCATTCGTTTATTATTTTCAATCTAAAGCAGACAATATAATAACATTAATTATGTTTACCCTGACATGTGATGTTATAAAATTATTACAGTCAAGTTAAAATTATTGTACATACCTATGTAAAGTTATTCAGTCTTATATGTCGTTCAATTCTAATAACATTGTAAAGACAATCTTCATCATTTCACCAAGTTCTATACCATGTCTCTTAAAGTATACTCGAGTGTAGTGTAAATTGGTCCTTATTGCGTACGTCATTAGGTTTCATTCTACTCCCACTCCCAATCGTGCAGTATTGGCGGGAACATCCACTCGTCAGGGTGACCAACGTGAGAGAGATGGGGACCCATGTCGAACTTACTCCATCTGCAGAGAAAATATAAAATTGAACAATTTTTATTAGATACTGCCACAAACTAATAAATATTATATTATTAGTTACCAAACTCTCAAGACACATGTTTCATTATGATCCCTTACGCCCAGAGGCAGGTTAAATCTAGAGAACGACCTCCTAGGCGCCTCTAATTTTTTTAGCGCCGTCGCCATTCTATATACTACTGAGGATGCACGCATCGCGCCGCCCCGCTGAAACCTGGCGCCCTGGACACTTGCTTAGTTTCCCTTAGGGATAATACGGCTCTGCTTACGCCATTAACAAACAAAATACCTCATTAATAAACTCAATCTGTAGACTAAGCCTTAGTCTACAGATTGAGTCACTAAGGTAATGCCAATAGAGTCTAAAAAAGAATGGCATTTGGTGAAGAAAAACATGAGCGGGTGTATTTTGGACAGTAAAAACCAACCGATATTAAAAAGAAACAAAGTATAGAGTTGCATACGCACTGGAATGGCGGTATCCCTCGCGAGATGTTGTGCGTGGGGCTGGCGATGGCGAGGAACCTGTAGCTGCCGCGCAGGTAGGCGCTCGTTATCTTGGCGTCCGTGGCGCCGTGGCTGCGGTGGCCCAGCGCGCGGAATGGAAACGTGCCTGTAACAGTATGTAGTAATTTACAGCTTACCATCACACAAAAAAAGGCTCACTGGGTGGCGCTCTTTCGTTTAATGAAGTAAAAATCCCACACTCTTGAAGGTTTCACTCGTCAGAAAAAAAGGTGGCGCTCTTTAATTGAACAATTGTTGGCAATTATTACTTATTTGGCGACAGTACTTTTGTTTTTAGTATAAAAATTATTCTTAAAACTAGAAAGTACAATAAAGTATTTTCTGTGTGTTACCGTTAGCCGGGTTGAGATCGTTCCTGGCCGCGACGGCGTTGCAGGCGGAGTACGGAGGGTCGCAGTTTTCGCAGCGTGACAGCGGGTCGTGCTTGAAGTCGTTGTAGCGCATCGTGTTGAACATGTCGCGCAGGTTGTAGATGTCCGCCTGTAAATACGACATTGATTATCAACTTTAACACGAACTGATAAGGTTGAGAGTCCTTTGAATATTGAAGTAGTTTGACAAATTGGTGTCACGCCACATGTCACTTTAAGTTCCTGAAGCAGTTACAAGTTACACCTGTCCTTTTTTATTTTGAGGGGCCAAAATCATCAAATGACGGCCTGGGTAAGCAGGTCATAGTCTATCGAGGTCAACTATGTGCCGAGGCCTCGTTACCTGGATAATGGCAGTCTTCCCAGGGTCTGTGGTGAAGTCAATAATGATCACACCGGAATGTCCCAGGAACGTGAACATTTGTCACATAAAGAAAAGCATGTCACCTGCTTCTCCTTGAGTATCTTGGCCCTGGGGTTGGTGTGGTATCCGAACCAGTCTCCGTAGGTGGCCATCCGCACGTTGCCGCCGCTCAGGTTGAAGATGCGAGGGAAGTAGGGGATGTTGTATGATGGGAAGTATGTCGTGCGCTTCAGTTCCTCCGTCCTGATAATACAAGAGACTTTTATGAAGTATAAATCAGATTAAAATATATTTTCTTCTAAATAGAGCTTACTGTTTCAATTTTCGTCAAATTTGCGCCATATTTGGAAACTGGCTGCTGCGCAACCTACCGTGATTTCGATTTATTCACGCAATATGTTTTATTATTCGAAACCAAACTATATTATTAGCTAACCCAAATTATTAGGTATGAAATTAGATACTTCTTAACTTAACCTGGCTTAGGTTGTAGTCAGGTACTCACAGGTCTGCAGACTCGATGATGCCAGGCAGTTGTTCCACCACCCAGAGCAGGCCCGCCTTGATGAAGCCGGGGCAGTGCGTGGTGCGCGGCTTGAACTTCTTGTAGTCCACTACAAACCTGCGGGAAATTAGTGTGAAGACACTTTTCACATCATGAACTATTAACATTGCATTCCAAAGCCAAGTCGTGACATGGTAGGTAATCTTAGTTCTTATTGTCTTGTTATGGAGCTTAGAATTTATAAATGACATCACTGCCTACACAGCATAAAACAAAGTCGTTATTCGCCGTCTGTCAGTCCCTATGTATGCTTAGATCTTTGAAACTACGCAACGGATTTTGATGCGGTTTTAACAACATGCAACGGATTTTAAATAGATAGAGTGGTTCTTAAGGAAGGTTTATATGTATAATACATGCACATTGCACACGAGCAAAGCCGGGACGGGACACGAGTTTAAAATAAATGCATAGTTTTTGGTTAAAGTTACCTTCTATGTCGTCTATGTAGATGCGTAGTAAACAGAGGGCATTTTGTTAGAAGGGCGGAAATCACAGATTTTGAGAAATAAAATGATAGACATCTTTGCCCAACCCTAAAATAGTACCTACTACTAATCACCGTGTACCAGAGCAATATACGAAAAAACAAGAAATATGGCTCACCATTGGTTGTTATACGTCCCACTATTGTGTCTGCTGAATATATCGACCCACTGCTTGCCAGTCCTCGCCAGACGGTTGGCCACCATCGCACGCGCGTACTCCAGGATCTAACGACATGTCAAATTGTTTTAATTAAATACAAAATGTACAAATAATAGCCAAAATGCAATTTTTTATAGATGTCATTGTCATTGGATACATAATCGAATACGAGTCTAAATTGGAATGCCTGGATAACTGAATGCCTTTAAGTATGTTTTTTATGGCATAAGCCGGTAAACGAGCCGACGAATCACCTGATGATAAGCAATCGGCGTCGCCCATGGACACCTGGAACACCAGAGGCGTTAAAAGTGCGTTACTGGCCTTTTGGGGATTAGGAGTTTGAGGATCGTTGGGAATTCAGGGATTGGGGAGACTAGGGAAGGGGAGGGTAATTGGGCCTTCCTCAACCTCACTCACACGACGAAACACAACGCAAGCGTTGCTTTACGTCGGTTTTCTATGAGGCCGTGGTATTACTTCACTCCGGTCGAGCCGGCCCATTCGTGCCGAAGCATGGCTTTCCCACACTTAAAAACAAACATTTATACAAATATTGTACAAGGTCAGATACCATTACAACTACCTATCAACCCATTGGATAATGGCGTACGCTTATAATACGTAGGTTTATTAATAGTAGGTATTACATAAGTGAAATTTCTTCTTCGCGAAAATAAATCCTCGTGAGAAAATTCAATAAGGTATGTACCTGTCCCACTGGCTTCACGTGCTCGAAGAGAGAACGGTTACTGTTGCCGATGGTGGTCTCCCCGGCCGTCAGCCCCGACGATATGATGTAGAAGTCATCTGTGGACTGCCATGGAACCTTATATGACAACTTTACCGGGTGAAATTGTGGGGAGATTTAAATATCCTGTTTTAAGCTTATTATGTTTTTTTAATTTCAGAAGTAAGATGTAGGTAGGTACCTGTACAAAGGCAGGGTAGGATGTAAGCGACATCTTGTAGCCGGGTATAATCTTCTTGCCGCCGGGCAACACGTGCAGGTACATCACGTACATCTTGTGGAACCGCAGCATCGACTGGTAACTGCAGGCAACGTTAGTAGGAGTCGTTTTTAACATGGGACATTACCTACTAGAACAACTATAGGCGTTTGTAAGGTACCTTTGTTACGTAAGTACTTCATTGTGACCTTAGGCAGCTGTTTCTTCAACCACTTAACCTAACTTACTGATCCCTGGTTAAGTAGATTACCTGTAGGTAATCTTGTGTACAATAAGGTGATCCACACTTAGAACTTTGATCGATATCAGGTGTTCCGGGTATGAGTATCCAAAGCTTTTCTTAATGCAAGGGAACATTACAATTACCAGTCGAGTAAAATTTTTATCTTAACTACATAAGGTCGAGATTTCAATGATACCTGTTCCAAGTGACATGTGACACGTAGAGGTTCGAGCGGTCAGGCAGCAGCTTGACGAGGCCGGTGCAGTGCTCGTCGAACAGCTTGCCCTCAGGGTTCGACTTTGGCAGAGACAGCGCGAACGCCAGCTCGTCCAGGTCGCCCAACATGTTGATCCAGCTGATGGAAAGCATTATTTTCAAATTGAGTACCTATACAATACAACTCGTAATGTGTTGTACTGTAAGGTACTTACATAATGTCCCTCGTGGTCAGCCACTGGTAGGGATCCCTGGTAGCAGCGTTGTAGCCCACGGCCAGACCTTCCAGCTGGATGTAGTACAACTTCATCTGTGGACCAAATTATATTTCGACATATTTAAGTCCATTTAGTCATTGGACAAATGGACACAGAGACATTGGGCTTAGGCTTACCTAATTCTATGTTGAAATAATGATATGCTGTATAAAAATTTTGCTACAACACCTGTCAATCTACGAATACTGTTAACTACTGCTGGTTTAGAAAACAGAGTAAAATCTACACGCAACACACAATCTTGACTTCATTCTTATAATGAGTATCTACTTTAGAGTAACCAATGGCTATTGGTGAAAGAAAAACTACGTATCGTATGTACCTAATCTTTTCAATAATGACAGTATAGAGCAAGGACGTAGTACCTGGTACCAGTAGGAGTTGTTGGCGTTTCTGTCTACCATAGCTGCCATATACTCTTCGTTCTTATCCACGAACTCCTCGATGAGACCACACACGTCCGTCTTGTTGTAGCAGTAACTGAAACCACCGACATTTTATTAATATTTCCCTCAGGGTTTGTCATCCTCGCCCTCGTCACTCGATTCTAAATTCAGATGGAAGAAAGGATCGTACCAACTTCTATTAGCTTGATATAAGAGAATAAAATATTAGCAATAAACCTCACCCTTTCAGCATGTTCTGCCAGTGCATCCAGATGAGGTCCCTGGTGAGGAAACCCTCCAGGTAGCCGGCCGCGTACGCCTGCTTCTCATCGGAAAAGTCACGCGACGTGTGCAACTCCAGGAACGCCCAGCTTATGGGAGGAAAATTATAATTATCAATGTATCTGAACTGCAATCAGCAACTTACTTTTCAAATGTCTTTTCAATTTATAATTAATAACATTCGGTATTGTTTTGCATAATTATAAAATTTCAGGTTTTAAGCAACAGCATACTAAGGATAGCGTACTAAAGGCACATAACTCTAAAATCACAACTACCCACATCTTAGAGTATGCACATTGTTTAAAGGAACATTGTGGGTTGTATAGTAATTCTCTATATCAGCATGTGCTACAGTCTAGTGATCCTTGATAGAAGTAATGGTTTGAAAGGTCATAAACATACCCAGTGCTATTGATTTCGTTGCTGTAGGTGGCGCGAGCGACGTACCCGTCAGGTATGTCCGCGAAGTAGTCCGAAGTCTTCACCGTCACCTTGCTCCCGTTCCACACCACATACCCGTACTTACACTCGCACACCGTACACACACTAGCTACCAACAAAACACACCAGCCTGAGTTCATCACGGTACTTTAAATACTTTGAGCCTCGACACTGTCGCTTGCTTGCTACCAGTCTTCCACAGAGAAGATAAAGTACTTTCCTAGCGATGACGAACATTTATTCTTCATTTGAGCAGTCAGCGTTTGTAAATAAGAATATTTATTCAAATGTAACGTTTTTTATTGACGGCGCGACTTTTTGACGTTTGCTGTCAGTGCAGTGTTGCCATTTTATGAGTTTTGAATCCTCCGTTTATGTGGTTCATGGCTTCGGATTTCATTTTAAGTTTAGATTATGTTCTATTATTAGACATCGCGTAATAATACCAAGGAAAAATCAAGGGGAGAAATAAAAAAAAGAAGTTGTCAAAATAATTTATTGCTTTTTTATTATCCTTATATTACCTAATAAACCCCGTAAGACCCCGTATGAACCTGTATCATTAGTAGTTTTGGCAGCTTATACATCTTTTAGATCATAGGTCACTTCCCCTATACTTATTATACTCTTTGTAGGTCATCTAACTTCAAAGAGTATAATAAGTATAGAGGAACCTAACTTTAACCAATGAACACCAACAGTCCGTGTCTTAAATATTTGTAGCAAAAAATACTGAGCACTCTCTACGGCATAGCAAAGTATCTTTGTAAAATATGTAAACTACATTATGAAACAAAAACCATAACAGAAAAAAGATAACCAACAAAAATAAAATAGATTCTAAACGTCATTTATTCACAGACAATTTGTTGTCTACTGGAGACCAATTAAATAATTTCAAGTTGAAATCACGATTGTTTCAACTGGCGGCGAGTTTCATGCCTATTTCCCCGCACTTGTAGCCGACCTCGCGCAGGAGGTAGGGCGTCCTCTCGTGCGCCGGTGCAGACAGCCACTCGCTCACGTTGACTGCGACGGGCATGTAGCCTTGGCTCTCTAGGATGTCCAGCACCAGGCGGAAGGTCCCTCGAAGACGGTTGCTGTTCATTGAGAAGCACCCTGGTTGGAAGTTCAAGACGCATATCCTGGAAATTGAGACATAAAGGGAACCTTTTGGTTAAGAGCTCACAAGTGTTAACAATACGGTTGCCATAGGAAAAAATCCTAGCGTGGCGTTACGTTTTATTGAAAAAGAATTAAAGATTGTCAATTATAATAGGAAATTTTGAGTTCAGTCATATTAGTTTATTATTTCAACAAAAGGTATGCTTTTTATTATATCGTCAAGTTTTTTACCTATAAAGGGGTAGGCAGAGGTGCACATAATGGCTTATAATGCCAAATTACAATAAACAACTGCTTTCCATCGGTTACGAAAAAAAGAAAGAAAAATGCATATATTTAGTAAATTAGTGTTATACATAATTATTATGTCTCGTTGCATGAGCCTATTGTAAAAGGTATGTGATTTCTGAAAAGTATACTCACGGTACACAGTCTTTTGGTATATTCAGATATTCGACCGGAACTTTCAGGTCACCCGCAGCGACCTGGAACTCGATTGGGTATCCGGCCTTCAGGCATATCAAACAATCTGTAAATCAGACCATTTCATAATGTTAAGGGGACGAAAAGACAAAAAGAAAAGACACTTTTATTAGTCAGTATTTACTATCCGTACGTTCCCCGCGGGTTGAACCGGCTAAGGGACTATAGATTTAATGAAGACCGTAAAACTTAAACCTTTTAAACTGCGATCTTCAACCTGTGTTGCGGCAATCCAACAGTGAACTGTCTTGGCCCGTTAATTAAGGGACGAAAAAGCTTAATTAGGCTTTAAACGAAAATACATACATTATACATGTATCGGAAAGAACATAGTAATTATGTAAAAAAGAGGTTTGTCTCTCACCAGCAATAAATCCATTAGGTAGCACTACATTCTTGACGACGTACCCCGGCCCCCCCAGGCCAATCGCCAGGTGTTCCTCCAGCAAGTCCGTCTTCCCGTGCACCGGGTACACAGACTTCAGCTTGTCATGCAGATCAGTAGGCAGCGTGTAGTCCTCGTCGTGGAACGATCGCACCGCCTCGTACAGCGTCAACAGCTGCAGGTAGTCCAACACGTTGTTCTCCTTGTCCGAGAAATCACTGATATTCTCTTTGGAGAACACTTTCTTTAGTATTCTGTCGTCATAATATCCCAGCGATGCTAGCTCCAGGCATATCTTGGCCCAGGGCAGTGCGCTGTTATTGCCATCGAACGCTGGGTTCCGAAAGATCTGTAGTTTGATATCCTCCCACTGCGGTTCCTCCGGTGTGAAGTTATTGTTCGACAGGCAGTTGATGAAGCCGAATAAGATGTTGGGGCGCGCTGACGATAATGTAGTGGAGTTCGATGCTGCTTGCTGGCACAGGTAGCCAATGAGACCTAGATGTGTGTGAGCCTAAACACACAAATAAACAAAGATGCATATTTTGTATTTAAGTTGTAACATTTGTAAAACGTGTAACAAGTTGGAATACTTACTATCCTCGACATAATGCGTGCCACCAGCAGCCCCTTTTCGAAGCACACTTTATGGTCCACCATATAGTTAGCGATGGCGTCCATGAGCTGCTCGTGGTAATACTCCGGGTGTTTCTCCAGGATCCGACCCTTGATCCTGGCCGCCGTCGCCAATATTTCTTCATAACGGAGGTGGCGGATTGACTGCGTTAGAATATCGTAGCAAATGTGCAGGAGCTGTGCTCTCCTGGGGAACACGTCTTCCGTGCAGTTCACTTGACATAGCGACCATATGATGGACTTGGCGACGTGTGCATCGATAGTTTGGTCGTGCAGGAGCAGCGCCGTGACTATGTCGTCGATATATCTGTCTGGAAGGTCGTGTGTGCAGCTAAATGCCAGCATGTCCTTCAGCATCGGCAGGTCTTTGCTGTCCATCTCAAGCGGCAGATGGATTTGAAAAGCTAATGGTAAAGCAAGCTTCAATGCATCGACCAAATGATTGGAACCTTCGAATTTGGTCAATAAGTAGTCAAGGAACATGATTTGTCTGACATTGATCATGTTGATGTAGCACCTGATGATCTGCAGCATGGTCTGCACCACTACGGATTCTGCAGGAACTTTCAGGAAGGAGAGCACTTTCGTGGCTTCAATAGCCTCGTTGACGTCGAGCGCCCGCGCGTGTTTTTTGAAGTTCTGACATAAATCGCCGAATAGTGGGTTTGCGACTAGTGTTTCCGGTTCCGTTGCTAAACTAAACGTAGAAAAGAATTATTAATTATTAATATTCTTATAATCAAGATTATATTATTTGATAGAATACTTACTTGCCCGACTTCTGCAGCTCGAAGAGTGAGCGCAGCGCCTGCAGCATGTGCTTGTGAGTCATGGTGGGCATGTTCTTGTTGACAGTCGCGAGTACTTCCGCCGCCGTGGGTGCCGCCATGATGCTGGACATCACGACGTCACAGGAACCTCCCCTCGTCACTTCTGCAGATACTGTGGATAAGGAAGGACTCTTTAATGCCAGGACCCCATACTTAGCAGTTGCATATTGATTAGAGTTCAAAATACATAGAGATAAGGAGTACAAACGCTACCCAATAATGGTTTACTAAAACTAACTAAAATATGCTTTACATATAGTATGGTTGTACAGAGTATCGAGTTGGATGGAGCAAAGCTTAGCTGCCTTATAAGTATCTTGAATAGCTTGGCACTCTTATGGAATACAAAATGCCAGCATAAGCTAGTGACAAAACTGACAAAACGTTGCTAACTTTTAGTTGGTAAGTGAGAGTTCACTAACCAGTGAACTCTTGTAAAATTATTACCAACATATTCAACCGAATATGTTGGTAAACAAAAAATTATGGTTCCTCATAAATTAAAGAAACAGAGCGCAATAATTGCGTTCATGGTGTAAGCTAGGTAATAATCAAATCTTTAGTATCAAGTTTGATGGTATAGACAATAACTTATTTTCTTTTATTTTTGGCCATGATCATCCCACTGCTGAGCACTTGTCTATAATAATACTTTACAAAATGTTTAACAGCATTATTTTAGGTTAAATAAGTGTCTTAAGATATTGGTTTTCTTAACACTAAATTATCAGAAACTATTTTACTTGCAAGAAAATATTATGCTATTAGAAATGGTGTTATGATTTCTTTTTAAATAAGAAAATATATTTTATACTAACTACTAGATGAGAGGGTCCTGTTTCGCAGTGATTTGCCGAGAGGGCTGCCTTTAAGCACATTTCGCCAAACGCTTTTTAATAAAAGCGTCATTATTACTGAAAAAATAAAATTATTACCATTTATTAAATACTTCACTTTTTAGGTTATGTTATTAAATAAAACTTTGTTATCAAACATGACTTGTAATATAAATCTTCAAAATTAATGACCTTACGGAATAAATAAATAAATTCTTCTGTATTATATACGATTCAACTCACATTCTATTTATTTAAATCAACTTTGTTCGCAATTTCTTATTCGGAATTCAGTAATACAAATATCTTCAATTATTAACAATTTCTTACGATTATTACGCCGATCGTCGAGTGTACAGTATAATGCATACTATGAAAGAATATATCAATTCATGGAACTGTTTATTTATAAATAAAAACAGGTTATTTAAGATTAAATTTAAAAAATTCGCGTTATTGGAGTGACAGCTGATTCTGACAGATGTTTTGTAACGTTGCACATGAAAAATAAACAAATGAATAAATTAATAGTATACAGAAAAACTGTTTCGTAAATAATTTCAGTTAATTTCGTTTAGTTAATTATGCAATAATGATTCCTACTTATTTAATATTACATTAAAATTAGCTTTCTCGATATGTAGATCTAGTTCATACGAAAAAATATGCAAACATTAAACGATGTCGAAAATCAGTCATGCGCGTAACGAAACTACGTTACAGCCGATTCGTTTCAAATAATACCTACGCACAATCATTAACACTGTAGCGTATTTCTATTTATTAACCGTATGAAATTATGATTACTGAGATATATTTATTTGTAGTGGAAAAATACAAAAACAGTGATAAATAGTGGATTTTGTTCTACTCTAACAAAAATAATTTCAGAACGAAAATCGATTCTGCAGCTTTTAAGTTTGACAGTGACATACATTATGACTTATTGACATTAATGATTGACGTTTTTACTATAATACTGTATTCCTTTTCATTCCAGCATTTTCTTGAAAATTTAAATTAAATATAAAATAAATAATGGCCACCCCAGTGAAGAAACCAGACTCTCTATCAAAAATGTTTAACGAAAGGATTGTTAGTACTCGTTCTGATCGAGTGATACGAAAAAAGGCGATAAAACTAGGAGACTACACCTTGGTTCCTTACGAAGACTCTCGCTGCAAGATTACTCTAAGTGATGTTCAGTGTTCCAACGCAGCAGGACCTTGTGAGATTGACCCAGTCAGTCGCATATTTAGTCAATCCTTTGATGGGAACGTGTTGATTGGCGACTCGGATTCCTACATAGACAAGGATTTCGAGTTGATATTGCAGCAGATGTGCTGCGGAGAGGTCTGTGAGGCCAGTATAGCTTACAAGAACGGAGATGGAACGGTGATGAAGGAGATACGATGCAAGATAGAACTGAGGGAAGTGACTGAGGAGCAGTTGATCAGTGATTGGAGCTGGGAGAGGCTGTACGAAGCTTCTGTACATCACAAGGTACACAAACAGAATTTAATATCTTTATTATGCTGGCTAATTTACTAATACTTAATTAGTTTATTATTTTTGATAAGTTTTTAAGTATATACATATTTTGTATTAGCCCTACAATAAGTCCAATTACTTAATAGAACTGATATTACATTTAAGTAATCGAAACGAGACTGCCTTCGGTGCTCCAATTAGTTCGTACATGGGATCCGGCCAATCAGAGCACCAAACACATACTCGTTTCGATTACTTTAAACATGACACAAAAATGAAGTAAGGCTTCTGATTGTAAGCCTATCATTTTGGCCAACTGTTTTGTCTTGGATAGGGTTCTTGCTGTAAAATGATGCATCTGGATTATCTACATACTGAAATACATTTACCAAATGAAACATAAAAATGTTTCTACATCACACAGACATTTTGTGACATGGTGGTACTTCCTAACTTAGGCTGTACCACCTAGATTATACTGTGACTGCAATCTAGAATGTGTGTAATTTAAGTTGTATGGGTAGTTTTTTTTACTTCATTTTCTTATTTAAATTCTTTGACCTTTCAATTCAAACCACATCCTGTGAACACTATTCTACTAATGTAGTTATGATTTGCATGGTATTTTAATATGGTATCATTGTCTTTTACAGAAAACAATGCTTTAAATTTCCACATTCTCTTTCTCCAGGAGCGGGGAGTAGATCTGATTAAGCAAGGCAGGACTGCAGACGCCTTCCGAAGATTCAACAAGGCTCTGAAGATGTTGATTGCTATAGAACCCGTGGACCCCAAGGTCGTCAGCGAGCAGGTGGTGAAAGATATGATAGAACTGAAGGTAAGCAGTGTGTTTGAATAATAGTGTAACTACATTATGTGTATTTATTTTTATATGGAAATGTTTGTCTTTGCTTCTTGGTAGTTAACTGCTGAAATATAATTTTGATAAATTATAGCAATATTTATTTGCAAAATTTAAAGAGCTTGCAGATTAATTTTAATGAATATCTACAATGACATAACTAGTTCACACAGATGAAAATGTTTACATTTAGTTTACGCAAAATGAGTTGAGTTCTAGTTTACTAAGAACTATTGTTATTATTATAAAAAGTAACATGCCTAAAGGTCTATATATCCACATAACTATCACATTCTCCAGGTAAAGCTGTACAACAACTTGGCGCACTGCCAGCTTCAGTATGACGAGTATGAAGCCGCCATAGAACTCTGTGAGAAAGCTCTCAAATTCGACCCGGTCAATGTGAAGGCACTTTACAGGAAGTGCACGGCTCACTCCGGCCTCCACATGTACGAGGAAGCCTGGAAGGACATACAAGAAGCCCTACGGATAGAACCCAATGACAAAGCAGCTCAGCTAAAGGCAAACTCCTTAATACCCAAAATTGAGAAGATAAACAAAGATTACACAACGGTTATCAAGAAGATGTTTGGTTAAACGGTTAAATAGCTGTTGTTACTTGTTGTTAGTGGCCATTGTTTGACTGCGGAGGTGGACATCTTGAGGACCGGACTGTATCCGGTGGCCTGTTGTTGTAGGAGCTCATTGCTCCACTCTGTGTGTTGTTGTATGGACGTTAGTACATCGACCAACTCCAATCTGTCAAAGTTTTCCAATAGATTTTCGACCTTATGCAAAAAGAATAAGAATAAAGGTAGTGTTTGGGGACCAGGTGTAATGTTTCTTTATTTTGGAAGAAGGAGCATCACCCCACTGGGGTGATGTCCCAGGATACATGTTCATGCCTGGCGAGCTCTTATCCAACGATTGTACGCCCCAATATACACCGAATTAAAACGTATGCTATTCCGAAACCTTGCTTATGCGATGTTATTTCCTATGCTGGGTCTAGTAATGAAAACCTTAATATCTTTAAAGAAATATGACAGATTGGAACAAGTTCTGCTGGCGTCTGTGAGTCTTAAATGAGCTTCTTTTGTGTTTCACCAACTCGCTGGCACCTCTAGCTGTTGTTTAACTGGATTTACTAGTCATGCCGCTAATAAAATTATTTATGTTAGGCTCATAACTACTGCACCATGTCTAATTCTTTCAAAAATTATAGTGGTCTAAGGGTAACTCCTACCGAAGTAACTAAGTTAAAACTAGAGCGTCACTGGGGAGGAGAAAAAAGACAACTAGCTCAAATTGTAAGTAATTACAGGGGAGGGAGGGGAGATCTGAACAAATAATTTCTAGCACACAGCCCTCAGGAGAGTCATATCAAATTTTGATAGTAAGATTATTGAATTCGGACCAGATAAATACACTTGGAGCAAAATTCACATCAGACTACAGCAGCTGCGGCTCCAACCACATGTTTGTGGAGGTATCTAGTGCCTAATTAAAGATGCGCAGGAAATTGTATTGGTGGGCCCTCTCATCTTAGTTTTTAACTCAATTATTCTAAGGCAGAACTCGATTTTTTTAATCTTCAGAGCAAATTATTTTCATATCGGATCGCACATTTTAAAGTAATATCTTTTATGTCAATTCGTATAGTTTTTTTCTTATTTTAGCTACAAAAAGACAATATTGAGAGTATTATAATATAATATTGATAGATAGAGGACCATCCCAATTGCTATCCTTGGTAGATAATCTGGCACTATGTGGAGTTTAATATGAAGCCGACTACTAGCTACTAGTGTATTCGACGTGAACGGTGGAACAGGGAAGTTAGGTAAGTGTTTGTAGCACAAATAATAAAACTATCGATGTATATAGGGAGTCGGAAGGTTTTGTACGGCGACTGGCGGCGACGTGTGGCCAAATATAATGACTCTGAATCTGTTTGACACGACTGTTGTTGTCCTTTGTAAATCGTATTGTTGCTTGTTGAACTCGTCTCTTTAAATGCAAATGTTTAACTGGTATTATAAAGCAGTTGCTGGATTTGACAAAATCTATGGTTAGCCATATAAATTATTTTCAATTACAAAAAATACTAAGTCGGTACTGGTAACTATTAGGTCGATTACTATTGGGGTTGCCTCCTAATCACGGCTACCTGACTCGTAACTATATCCAGCGATAATTGCGTGTTACACTTATATATGAGCAGCTAATAAACCTCTATTTGTTAATAAAGAACAGCAATACTCAAGTGTTGAACAAAATCAGGGTCATATCGTAGAATAGTTGTACTAGACTAATATTTCCTATGTCTCGGGCTTAGGGACCGTTCCTGCATCCTTCTAGCAAGTTCCAGACAAGATGCATTTATATTCTACTGTGATTCTCTTACTTACGTGTCTATTTTTGAGATAATCAACTTTAATTGTAAGACTTCAAAATCTATATGTAATTATGTACTTAAATGTCTGTTGTATATAGAACAGTGAAATATATTCTGTATATGTAGCAATAAATTGTCTTGTTATTTCATTTTAAACACCATCATCTTGATAGTTTTGGAAATAATTTCTAGTGAATCCTATACATTGTAACGTACACTCCAAAAATAATTTACCCAAGTTGATCCAGCCATTCAAACTATGATCTGAGCCTATATAGCTGAGACTTTATCTCTCAGTGACCACATCGCTCACAGTTAGGTAAATGAATAAACTATACAATAATTAAATACTAAATTAGCGTAATTTAATTGTCCTAATTGATTTTCCTTGTAGGTATTTTGAGATTGGAGTACCTTATAAGGATAATTTTATGAATGGTGTCTAATTTAATCAGGTTTTGAATGGGGAAGCGATCCTACCTTATTGCATTTGTAGTAAAAATAGGCAACAAAGGTGACGAACGTGGGTAAGCTATTTATACTGAAAGGTCCTTGTCTGAAACGATTCACATTATTTTAGAACCAACGTGTGACGCACGGTTATAAAATATCTTTAGAAAATAGTAAAATAGGTTTTTTTTTTTTTTTTTAGGTTTTTTTTTTAAACGTTGCCCCACACTAGGGTTTTCTCCTGTGTCGTGGGTGCGTTTACAAACATACAAGTTCACATACACAATGACACCCAGACCCGAAACAACAATTTGTGGATCACACAAAGTGTTGTTCCGTGCGGGAATCGAACCCGCGACACGTTGCACGGCAGCCGGTTGCCCAGCCACCGCACCAACCGTGCAGTCAATACGACTGCACGGTTGGTGCGGTGGCTGTAATACGACCCTTTTATTTCCGCAAGGGCTGGCAGAAGTAGATCCTGGTTTATACCCTGTTTTTTGGCTATCCTTACAGGTACCAGTAGTTTTATAATGCTTGATTGCAAGAACTTAGTACCGTTAATAATACGCACAGCTCTCCGGGGACGTCCGGGCACCGCATCCAACACTCCGTGAATTATTGTCAGTGACACAAGTAATCAATCCACAACAAACAAACAGGGCAATAACTTATTATAAAGTAGGTCTCATTTCCTTTGTTTTAATACACACAGCGAGTTATTAAGAAATAATTGTAAGTATTTTATATTTATAATGAAACAATAATATTATGAGCATGTGTGACTGCGTGACGGTCGGTGGCGCGGAACGTGAGCCGCTTCCCTTGCGGGTGGCCGGTTGCTGCAGCCTGTACCCGACTACTTACTTTATAAAGAACATGTTTACATTGAAAATAATAGAATTACTAGCTTTCTAACTACGGCTTTAGCCTTTATACACAAATCTCTTCTCACTGACCTCTATGACTCTTTATGACTATTGACTATATCGTGGGAAAGCATCAAAATCTGTATAGCAGTTTTTGACTCACGCTTACAATCTGTATTTGGTAAACCGTACCTTCCTATATATCTATTGCTACCTGCTTACCTACTACTTATGTAGTATCTTCGTATTAAAATTTGTGACTCATTAGGTAACTGTCAGTTTTGTATGTTTTCGATAAACTATCTGATAAAACTAACTGAAAGACTCAAAAACTTGGGTAGTTCAGTAGTCGCTATTAATTAAAATAAGTAGACACAAAATATTCTAACATCCACAGAACATATATAAACATATCTCTAAACAGAAATCGAACCCCACGAGTTCAAAAACTTGTAAACACAAAGCGTCAACAAAACATTGTCTAAAATAAGCCACGCCCTTGACACAGCAGCCGATCAAAATCTCGTCTGCCCGTAGCTATGACATCACACTAGGAATGGAGGCTGTCTGACATCATACACCCGACGCATTAAATATAAAGGACCAGTAAACCCAGTCCATACGTTCTACGACCATAATGCTATGCCATAATCGACTTTATGTCCGAAAAGTTATGTCTCATAATATTCTGTATGTTTTAATCCTTCTGTAGTTATACGCGATAACCTCACCTACGCGCCAGTTTGTCAGTCGTTCGCGAACCACGGATTGAGACGTACCCGCTACCACAGTGTTATTTACGCGCAGTTTCTTTCAACACTTCCGTGAATACTAATAATCGTAGTGAGTATTATACTGTAGGTACTATTTAATATATTATTGCGTTGGTATATATTTCTACAGTTACCGTGTTTGAGTGTGGATAAAATGTGGTTGAAAAAATGTTGCATTATATCATATGTTCGCAGCTCACCTGTAGGTAACTTTATGTAAACATAGCCAAGTTGATTGGAGCGGCAATATAATCATTCTACAGGTTTTATTTTACTCACGCTACCCTATTAAGTGGGTAGGCAGAGCTGTGTAACATTGAGCCTACATAAAATTTAAACTGTTGTTGTCAAAAGTTTTGTTGTTATGTTAATTGATAGATATTTAATTAAGCCTTATTAATTATTGCCACCGGCTTCGTCTCCCTAACTGAGATGTGGGCTACGCATTTATTTGTATTGTATTGTATTGTATCTAAGTATAAGGGCTATATTTGGCTCTGTATAACACATTTCCTTTGCCTTGAATCCATAAGTGAATTAAAAATGTAAAATATCTATAGCCACTTAACAATTTGGTTTGGAACTTATTTACGTAGGATAATTTAAACAAAAGAAATTTAACGGCACGGTATAACGTAGCGTGCAGATTTCTGTAATACTTAAAACCTATAGGTACCTAAATAATTTGAACTTGTAAGTTTATTGTCAAACACAGTGTCGTGGTAACTCCATTGAATGCTCACTCTTGGCATCTTCTTCACATTCATTGATTGATTAAGTACCAGTGTATGCTGTCCAGTCATCTTTATGTCAATTTCGACTTTAACACGTAGTCATTTTGGTTAATTTTCGCTTATCAAACTACAATAATGATACTTATGAACAGTTAATATCAAATTCCTCGTGTTGTCATTAGCCAGGAACTCTTTAATAATTATGTGTCAATGGTCGAACACACGTGATTTTGCTCGCGATGTATTTAAGAAAGATGATGTCATTGTATCATGCATTTTAATACAAACGTAACCATATTAAGATATAAGTACTAAATTACCGGATTTTAGGTGTTTTGTGTAATTAGGCATAGACACTACTCTGGTGCTAACTGGTCACAGCACCTAATTTGATACACCTGCGACATTAGTAGCATCACAAATACGTTGCCAACCATATACGATATGACAGTCAGTCGGTCGTCTTTTTCAATGAATATGTCGCCTATAGTATGTCCTTTAATATGTAAATAATAATATTTATTTCTTTAAATATTAAATTATAAACACGGGTTTTAATTATCTAAGAATACTCGTGGTTAAAGCGTGGGAGAGCCATGCTTCGGCATGAATGGGCCGACTCGACCGGAGTGATACCACGGCCTCACAAAAGACCGACGTGAAATAACGCTTGCGTTATGTTTCGTCGCGTGAGTGAGGTTACCGGAGGCCCAATTACCCTCCCCTTCCCCAATCTCCCCAATCCCTGAGTCCCCAAAAATCCTCAAATTCCTAATCGAAAAAGGCCAGTAACGCAACTGTAACGCTTCGAGTGTTCCAGGTGTCCATGGGCGACGCCAATTGCTTACCATCAGGTGATCCGTCTGCTCGTTTACCGGCTTATCTCATAAAAAAGGCGGAGCGCTAAGCGTTCGACACTACCAGTAGATGTCTTCCACTAATATCACAGATCACTTAATAGTTACTACGCTAATATATATACATTCACAGCTAGGTATGTACCTACCTAGAATTAATTCCTCTATTGTATTTAAATATTTTAAAGTGAGTACGTCAACAAACACATAGGTAATTACTAAATAGGAATGTGTTAACTGCTTACTTTCCTTACTGCTATGCTATACTCTAAGATGTCATTTCGAAGCTCGATGTGAGCTCGATTGCATTTTCGCCTGTCAGTGGTCGAGATTATTCTCATGACCAATGACAGCGGTTCGCGATAATTGATATCTTAAAAAATAGCCTAGCATTGATGCTAACAACAATGTTTGATATTTATGCACCAGAGGAAAAAAGCGGTATTTTAGCACTTTAGTAGGTTACAAAAACGTTATATAAGCCAACTATTCATTAATGAAAGTCCAGACAAGACTTCGGAGAACCTAACGGAACGGGGTGGTTTTTAGTCAGTAAGAGTCTGACACTCCCTCCCGCTAAACCCAGGCGGGAGCAGTCATTAGGGAGGTTCAAACATTTATCACGTGGACGTTACTTAAATGAACTAGGTAGGTTACATACATACAAATCTAAATAAGACTTTGTGAATTCTTTTGCGAGTACTTATTCATCGCTAATTGTATTATTAAGCGCAAAATTCGTGGAAAGGCTGGAACCAGATTATTAACTATTTGCAATTGATACAAGGTAATATTCGAAGCACTTATTGCCGCTGAAAACCTATAATAGTACAGAGCCATCAGACCACCATAGATGGGGGCCAGTAGGGCTGTTGCCGACACGGAGCCGCGGAAGGCCTAACGGGTTGCCGGGGCTCCGGCTCGAAAAGCAGAAATAGGAACGGGGTGGTTTTAGTCAGTAAGAGTCTGACACTCCCTCTCGTGTAACTCAAGGCTGGAGAAGGCTTTGGATGATTTTCCCCCCTCAAAAAATAGACCTATAATAGTCCCTAATAAAATCCATTCCAAAGTGGTACATGACAGTGGACGTGGAACCATTTTTTTATATACCACTACGATTAGAAAATAACACACGGCCCATCTGATGGTAAGTGCAGTTACGCGTGGCCTATCAACGCTTGCAACACTTGGAGCATTACATAAATGATCCTTGCCGACCCTTAAAAAACCTAATTCTGTTTGAAATAATGCTAGTACTCACATACAGTCGCGTAGAACCTAACGGGTAACCGGGGCTCCAGCTCGACGTGCAGGAGAAGGAACGAGGTGGTTTTTAGTCAGTAAGAGTCTGACACTCCCTTCCGCCTCACCCAGGCGGGAGCAGTCATTCGATGATTTTCGCCCCTTAAAAAAAAAAAAAAAAAAAAGTACTCACATACAAGACAACTTTACGTACCTATGTATAATTATGTAGTTCTGAAGAAAGTAGGTAGGTATATGATTGAACTTGCAGTTATGGATCGATCGCGTCAGCTATAACTGGGTGTGAAATGCCTCGAGCAAGGTTTACATCGACCGCTCGTGAGAACCGTGTCAGACAGACGACGCGACACGCAGACAGATTACACTATATTACTATGTAGGTAAAATATGTATAGTACCTATGTTACTATCACATTAACTAACTAATGCCCATTTACCACCAACGTCTCCTAAAATTTTAAGGAACTCCTTAGGTAAGATAGGTCACACGTGACACGTATGACGACATTTAGGTTTCTAAGTCTCTAAGTGACACCTAAGGTACGAGTAAGGGGTTAGCACTGATAGGTGTCCCCTGAAGTTACATAACTCTTAATTAAGTGTGATAGCTTGGGGTTGGTAGGTGGAAACGGCCATTATTAGCCCTTTGAGTAAAAACAAACTTATACTCTTAAATACTAAAACAAAAGAATGATAGAAATGTTTACCTACATATTGGACCTTTAGCACAGCCGTGACTTATCATGGCTAGCCACTATTTGCAAGGTCATGGCGAGTCGATTGCTGGATAAAATAATTCTAGTTGATAGGTATTCCGATTCTAAATATGAGACTTAATAAAGTTAACTTAGGATAAATGTATAATTATAATATAATGCCCATGTTGTTTTACAATTTTACATCTCTGCCTTGCTTATATCCCCCTTTAATTAAAACCACGCGTACATATGTGCTATTGTTTGTTATTAACAAAACATTGCTCCACACTAGAATGCTGTGCGTATTGACTATTAGTTAAGTACATTGAAGTTTGTTATACACTGCTCGCAAACAATACATTTTTTAATTTCTCCGTTCTCGATATTAACGATGTTTCATTAAGAGGTTCACCTTTATTAATAGAACAGTATTACCTACTTATATAGTACAGCTACTATCGAAATACAATACAACAATAAACTTTGCTATTCAACAAATAAAAGAGATAAATAAAAATCATCGTATGAACGCAACTGCAATGTGTCTGTTGTGAGCTGCACGGTTTCTTATCTAGTGCTCTCATAAAGGTACTTTGCACTCCAGGAAAAATACGTGATCTGATTATAAAAGAATTCATTGCACGGTTGGCGCGGTGGTTGGGCAACTGGCAGCCGCGCAACGTGTCCCGGTTAGATTCCCGCACGGAACAACTCTTTGTGTGATCCACACATAATTGTTCCGGGTCTGGGTGTCATGTGTATGTGAACTTGTATGTTTGTAAACGCACCCACGACACAGGAGAAAATCTTAGTGTGGAACAAAGTTAAAAAGAATGCTACGGGCTAGCGATTATTGTTATTAAAATAAATATTGAATATCTAAATTCAGAAGCCGCGAATAACTCAACGGGCTATCGCGGCTCCAGCTCAAACCAGAAGTAGGAACTGGGTGGTTTTAGCCAATAAGAGTCTGACATTCCCTCTTGTCTCACCCAGGACGGGAGAAGTCGTTGGATGATCTTTCCCACTAGAAAAAACATCTAGCTATATTCATCCCTTCACTTCACTTCTTGTGGGTAACCCTGTTCAGATGTTCATAAATATATGTTCATACTCAATTTCTAGATTAAAAAGGGCTCAAAGTACCCAATACCCGAATGCCGAATGGCACTTAATAACAGTAAGTATCTTCGCATCGTAATCACAAAGTAGATACCTACGTAATAAGCAATCCACTACCCACTGGGGCGTCTGTAATTAGTCGTACATAATTACAAGCCGGGAGCCGGGGTGAGGTGACTGATTGCAATTACTTTTATTTAGTACGTATTGTAACGGTATTTACGGTATACTGCCATGACCACATGACCATGTGACCGAGAAACAAACCTTTAAAATCTACGAAGTATCTGTAAATATAATGCGTGTAAATCAAATAAAAAGAACTTGATTAGTTAGCCCTTTTTATAAAAGTAAGGTACGAGATTTTATACATGTTTTCTACTTATTCATTAAAATCTAATATTCGTTATTCTCAGGAAAAATGGCGAGTCTGAGATCAGGCAGTGGGGTGCAGGTGGTAACTCCTAGTGAAGACCACACATTTCTGTTGGATGAAGAAGCTCTCCAGAAGCTGTTGCTGCGTGCCGACGTGAAGGACCGGCCTGTGGTGCTGCTGTCCGTGGCGGGGGCCTACAGGAAGGGGAAGTCTTTTCTCCTCGACTTTTTCTTACGATACTTGGATCACACGGTGAATACATAGACGACTTAATTAATGCGAAGTTCTCAGTAGTTATCAAATTCACAAATTAATACCTAATAACTATGAGGTTTTAACACTCAAGATAACTGCAGATAAACCATTGACATGTTAAAAAATTGCGAGTATTATTGATGATTGGTATGTGTGCAGTTGTCTAAGTTTTTTGAACGTCCCCGTAGGTATTCACGCATTTCCTATTCTTGTCTTTTCAGTACAACAATGGAGACGGAGGCGGTGAGTGGTTGGGAACAGAGGATGAGGCCCTGAAGGGGTTCCCATGGCTCGGTGGCTCTGAGCGACACACTACTGGCATCCATCTCTGGTCACAACCCTTCAAGGCCACCACTTCCAGCGGGGAAAAGGTAACATACTATTCATTAATACTACGTAATTACTTTCTGCCTTTTTTCCCGAGTGATTATATGAAGAGTTTTAATTGACCACTAACTTTATTTACCTACTTATCTATGGTTCCAGGTGGTGATCCTCCTGATGGACACGCAGGGCACCTTCGACAGTAACTCCACGGTGAAGGACAACGCCACAGTGTTCGCACTGTCCACCATGTTGTCCTCTGTCCTCATCTACAATCTCTCGCAAAATATCGAAGAAGATGACTTGCAGCATTTACAGGTGTGATGATAGATGGTGGACTGTTACAGTTCTTTAACAGCAAATAAACTTTTGCAAATAATTAAAACGATAGCCGATACTAAATACTGGTATTTGATACCTCTGCTCTGCTCTGTACCTTTGGTACCTCTGCACTATTTTACTTCTTATCCTAGTTTCTCTATATTTTAACCTAAAGTCAGGTAAAACGGGCACTAAAATCCTTCTTGGTTAGCAACAATTGCAGTTGACTTTCCTGACATTTTTTTTTGTAGCATAATCCAGTAAACGGGCAGATGGATCACCTGATGGTAAGCAATCAGCGCCGCCCATGGACACTCGAAACACCATGGCGTTACAAGTGCGTTATCGGCCTTTTGGGAATTGGGAATTTGAGGATTGTGAAGGATTCGGGGATTCGGGAGACGGGGACTAAGGATAAGGTAATTGGGCCTCCGGTAACCTCACTCACACGACGAAACACAACGCAAACGTTGTTTCACGTCGGTTTTTTGTGAGGCCGTGGTATCACTCCGGTCGAGCCGGCCCGTTCGTGCCGAAGCATAGACCTCCCACACTTAAAATATGTCTTTGTTCCAGTTATTCACAGAGTACGGACGTGTGGCGCTGGATGAGACGGGAGGCAAACCATTCCAGCGCCTTCAGTTCCTCGTGAGGGACTGGTCCTTCGCATACGATCATCCATACGGACCGGTTGGAGGAGAACAGCTGCTCAAGAAACGACTTCTGGTATAAACTTTTCATCTAATTGACAATCTATATCTTTATTAACAGAAGAAAGTTTCCGTTCCGTACGGTTGGAAAAAGTATTTTCTTTAATGTTCATTAAAATTTTGTTTCCAGGTCCGTGACACCCAACACGAAGAATTGCAGAAAGTGCGTCAAGATATCGCGCGGTGCTTCGAGGAAGTCACCTGCTTCCTGCTGCCGCATCCAGGACTTAAAGTGTCCACTGACCCTCACTTTATAGGGAAACTGTCTGGTAAGGATTTCTTTAACAGTTTTGTAGAAGTGGTTACGAAACCAACAAAAAAATGTTTGGTCCTTGTCCTTTAGGTACAATAGGGGTTAAAAACTTTCCTAAGATTGCTTATTACAGTACAGACGCCACTAGCGCATGAACTGATGAACCTAAGTTTTAAAATGTTGGTATACATTTTCAACTTCATTGTCTTGCAATAAAGACGATAATCTGTTAAAGATATTTGGTACCCAACCAGTGTAGCATGGTTACCACGAAAGATTCCAAAAGCGATCATTATAAAAACACTTTCCCTCGTTTATTTCAGACATTGATCCTGAATTCAAGTCATGCTTGAAGAAGCTGGTGCCAATGTTACTGGCGCCTGATAACTTGGTCCCTAAACAGATTGGAGGACAGAAGGTGAAGGCACGCGATCTTCTGAACTACTTCAAGAGCTACGTGGAGGTGTTCAATAGCGAGGAGCTGCCCAACCCCATGACTATACTACAGGTCTGTACAAACACTGGGGTTTCTTGAGCCAAAGGAGAATTGAGGGATCTCGAATGAATCTTTGCTAAAAATTGTGCCAAAACTAACTTATAATAATTATGGTCTCATTATAAGATTCTAAAGTGATTACCTATATTAAAAGTTGGCATATAATGTAGAATGTAGGAATAGCATAGTTAAGTGTGAGAGTCATGCTTCCGCACGGATGGGCCGGCGCAACCGGAGTGGTACCATACCACGGTCTTACGGAAATGCTGAAATGTTTTTCGTCGACAAGTGTGGCTACCGGAGGTTCAATCCTGCTTCCCCCTATCCACAATCCTGCAATCCTTGAATCCTTAACCCCCAAAAGCACCAGGCTCTTGTAATTTATAACTCGTCTGATGTTGAGGGTATCTACAGGCGACTGCAGAAGCAAACAACACATCAGCATCATCAGAAGCGCGCAACGTGTATGAGACGCTCATGGACGAGATATGTGGCGGCACCAAGCCATACCTACCACAACAAGTACTGGAACAGGAACATCACAAGTGTCTCAACAAGGCACTGCACTCCTTCGACAGTAAGAAGAAGATGGGAGGCGAGGAGATGGCCACCAAGTACAAACAATTACTTGTGAAGGTGAGGAGGAGACTTTCATTTGAGTGAATATTTTTTGGATTATGAATTATAATGTATAGAAAGATTTCTTCATTACTACACCTTCTAAATATGAACGTGACAACGTGTCCATAATTGATGAAGACAAAAGGTTTTATCAAATGTTTCCTGTTCATAATATTAGTACAGATTATAAAAATAAAGATAGATCGATGAGTAAGTAATCGGTATAGGTGGGTCAGCGTTTAGCCACTATCTCGCCTAGTGGTAAGCGACGACGCCACCTACAATGGCGCACGCTTGCATCGAGACGCGCGGCCGCGCGTCAGCCAAATTCAGCAAACAGCGCGCGCCACAGTGTATCTTTAACACGAACCACTTCGTGCCACTTTTGACCCCTCTATACCTTATAATAATTTAACTGATTCACCAAACTTTCTTTTCCCAGGATCTAGAGGACCTGTTCGATCAGTTGAAGGCGCACAACGAGAGTAAGAACATGTACCGAATGTTCAGTACTCCCGCGGTGTTCGCGGCGCTGTTCCTGTGTGGGTACTTGCTGAGCGTGCTCGGCGACACCTTCAGAGTTCAGACGCTCGTTGCAATCGGACAGGCCGTCACCATCGGGGCTGCTGTAATGCTTGGAGCCTGGATCTATACTAGGTATTATATCTTACCTTACTACCAAAGTCCGCTCTGCAACTGCATAGGGCTGGGGGGTCGCGGAGAACCTAACGGGTAACCGGAGCTCCGGCTCGACGTGCAGGAGAAGGAACGGGGTGGTTTTTAGTCAGTAAGAGTCTGACACTCCCTCCCGCCTCACCCAGGCGGGAGCAGTCATTCGGTGATTTTCCCCCCTTAAAAAAAATAGGGCTGGGGGGTCATTTGTCTTTATAGGGTTTTTATTATACGTTATGAAACAAGCACAAGGATTCTGATGATGTGTTTTTGCCTGCAGGATGACAGGCAACTTACGAGAGGTGGGGATACAACTAGATGACATAGCAAACAAGATACGATCCTTTGTAAGTATATTTACAGTTTATTTTGCATTACATACCACCTTACCTTCTCCCATGATAGCTATACCTAGTAGATACAAGCAATAGACCACTACGAAAGCTAAGGTTTTATGGATTTTATGTTTCTAACAAAGTTGTTAATTGAACTTGAGACCCTTGTTCGGTAGTGGTACTACTAGTGCGACTACTCGTCCAACAAGGCAATATTAGCAATAATGTTAAATTAATTGCAAGTAAAATATCTCCAGGTGGTGACACAAGCCGAGCCAGCGCTCAAGGAGTCATAACAATATTGTCTTCAGCAAGGAGTGTTTAACATAAGTGTCATTTAAGACTGGTCAATTAGTGAAGGCATCAAGCAATTGTAGTCCATTGTATCTTTGGAATACAGTATAAAGTTCGTCAACATGTCACGCTACATCAAGAACATTCAGGGGCCTCAGGAAAGCGGTTTTAGTGGTTCTCTCGTGTTGTTCTCTGTTGGTGCCATAGCTGAATGTACGCCAGTGGCTAGTACTTAGGTTAAGATAATAAATTATGGCGTCCAGAGGGCGATCCTAATGCTTATATTTTTAATAATTACGCTATTTTTTCTTTACTCTAAGATTTTTTCTGCTTAAAGTATTTCTAGCTAGATTTTTAAATAAAGTTTATTGTGCATATGTGCATCAATTAAAACTCAGACTGATTATTCTTGGATTGATTGTTTCTTTCAAAAACATCGAAAAATGTAGATAACAAAAAATGTGAAATGTTTTATAATAACTATCGTGAAACATAATAAATAAAATAAAAATCGTGGGCTACTCACACAAGAATATACTGAGAAAAACTCTACTAGTTTCGAGTCACAGAGGAGCTCTTACTCAGTAGGCTGCGCGACCGCGCACGCTGCCGAAGAAGAATGAAGAAGAGCCCTTGTGGTTCGAAACTATAAAGAGTATATATCAGTATATTCACTTGAATAACCCGCGATTTTTAGTTAATACCTAAATGTAAACTTGATTTTTTAAAATATATTTCTTATTATTTATGTACCATTGAACCCATATACCTCTATGTATAATGTTTTCAGCTACCACCCTTCTCATGTTGTAATTAATATTATACTGTGTATATAATTACTTACTACTGTAAAACGGTAATGTTGACGAGAGCGAATGTGATTTTAAATATATTTTATATGGAAATAATAATTTTATCCCTACTGTTTTAGACTTGTTTTATTTCTAACTAGCTGTGGCCCGCGACTTCGTCCGCGTAGATTAATGACTTCTGACAGAATTCATCAGAATCAATTCAGTGCGCAAGTCAGATTTACCTATCATGAAATGATTTATCGTAGTTTCAATAAATAAATAATCCCGCAGGGATCTTACCAGTACAGTGCTCGATTACGTAAGGTTTGAGTTATAAAAACTATTCTATCGACTATTGTTGTACCGAATCTCTCTAGAATAAGTTCAGTGGTTAAGAGTTAGAGAGTCCTGGGGCATTGACGCATAGTTCCCGTTCCCGTGGGACTTCTGTGATAAAACTATCATACGTTACTCAGGTCCCAAATCATCGTTTTACCGAATGTAATTCAAAAAGATTCAATGATTCTAGATTAAATGGCTAAGAAGATTTATAAAAACTATCATTCCCTATTTTATCCCCTTAGGGGTGGAATTTATCAAAATCCTTTCTAAAGAGATACCTACATTTAACTCAAGCCAATTTAGTGTATAAATGATGCAGAACACAGATATACTGGCTGTCCTGTCCTACATTCTGTCATGTGTATTATTTATTAACATTTTTCTTTTTTATTATTTTATTTTATATTACTTTTTATATTTATTCTATTGATAAGTGAGTAAGTAAGTAAGTAAACTGAGAGAGCAAAAATTGACGCCTTCGAAATGTGATGCTGGAGACGTATGCTCCGTATTCCCTGGACCGCTCGTCGCACCAACGTCTCCATTCTCAACGAGATCGGAATTACTACGAGGCTGTCCACCGTATGCCTGCAGCGAATATTAACTTATTTTGGCCACATTGCGCGTAGAGACCGCAACAATCTGGAGAAGCTTGTGGTTGTTGGTCGGGTTAACGGGAAAAGACCTCGTGGTCGCTCACCCACCCGGTGGTTGGATGCAGTAAAGAACCTAACCGGCCTGACAGTTCCACAAACCATAAAGACCGCAGAGGACAGGGGCGTTTGGAGGAGGGTTGTGCATCAAGTGACGCGTGCACCAGACTAGGCACGACCTTCAGTAATGAAGAAGACGACTAGGAAGACAAGAGATTGGTAAGTATTCCATTGTTGTATCTACATACTTAATTAATACATATATTTTTTTGTGTCTTTGTCTAACCATACAACGGCAACGTTGCTACCATCCGTGCGTCACTGCATGGGTGCCCACTGAAAATCAGTGCTGGGTAACTTGTATGCCTGGCTTATACTGAGTGGGTGACCCTTTTAGCATAGGCATGTTGTCAGCGTCTCCCTTCTTATTCTTTTGTTTTAATTTTTCAACTCGATGTTTTTATAACTTCCACTGTCACACCTTTATTGTCTTTTTTATATTTTATTTGTGCTGCATCGTGCCTGGAGCTGAATCCTTACTAATATTATAAATGGGAAAGTGAGTTTGTTTGTTTGTTTGTTTGTTCCACTTTCACGCCGTAACTACTAAACCGATTGCTTTGAAATTTTGCAGACGTAAAGTTAGAAGTCTGGATTAAATAACAGGGTACTTTTTATCCCGGAAAAAATGTATATTATCGAGGGAAAACGAAATTATTGGTATAAATGGCGCTGTGTGTATTGGTATATGTCACATAGGCTACTTTTTATCCTTTTGTGACGCGAGCGAAGCCGCGGGTAAAAGCTAGTACTGAATAAAAATAAAAACTTATATTTGCGTTTGGTATAGTAACTACGTCTAGGGATCGAGCCGCACAATTCAGTTGTTTTTTGTGTGTATACTTTTTCGGGGTAAAAGTACCCAATGTTGCCCAGGATATTAAAGTATAATCATATCAAGTTTCATAGTAATTGGATCAGTAATTTTTGCGAATGCGTGTTCACGCACTGTTATATAGACATATGTTCATATAGACGGACAAAAAGATAACAAATTTTTAATCATATTTTTGGTACACATACAGAAATCAATGTCAATGTATAAATTTACACTTTTACAGTGTTATTCTATGTATATTATATGTCATAATATAAAATATATACATTTTTCTACTTTTGGTGGTTAAAACACGTCTTACATCGGTAAAATAAAAGAAAATCAAATTTTTCGTCAACTTTATTGTATTAAAACAAATATTTACATGAAACTCCCCTCGTGCGGTCGCGAACACAATATAACCATCACAACCGCCATCGTACGTAAGGTTATCAACAAAATAAACTATCAACTCTCAACGAACTATTTATTATCCCATGCCAAATAAACTGAAACAACATTCATTTTTAATGAACTTCGATTGGCACATGCTATATTATTTATATAAAAATTTTCACGATATGTTACTATTTTACTATAAAACGTTTATTTACATTTTGTTATAAACAACTACTCGAGCGTCTGTAAGTTAGCAACTTGTGGGGCTTGTATGTGGTCGGGCGCGAGCGGGCTGCGATGTGAGATTCAAGTAACATGTTAGAGAGTCGGGCTGGCAGAGTGCAGGCTGTATGTGTGGTGTTGCCAACTTACTGGACACTGGCTCCTGTACCGCGGGCGGCGCACTGTCCACTTTGACAAACAGTAGCTCAGTACACAGCGATATGAAGCGGGTTGATATGCTGGCTTTGTACATTGTACCTTACAATCACAGGTCAAAGTGCACACGAACTTACATTTGTATTCGTGAATGCTATTTCAACAGTGCGCCTCTCCCATCTACGATAAACCAAGAAGGATCCCTAATTTTGAGCATAATCGACTAAAATTTTGAACACACAAAGACTTATTTAAAAGAAAAATAAAATGCAAAAATAAAATATAGATTATATATCGAACATGATTGACTACTATACATTAATTTCGGACACCGGGTGTATAACAAAATAAATGTTACATTCAGGATTAAGTACATGATTCTTTATACAGTGCAAGGCAACGAGTGTAGGAATATGTTTCGAGACTAAACGTGACAAAATAAAACCTGTTTGTGCATCCTTTACATCTATAATTACACAAGATTATTAACTCTGTTACTTTACTATTAAATTTGTTATTTTACCTTATTGTGTTATTTAACCTATACCTCCTTTGTAAATAGTATAAACCATAAGAAGTGCCGGGCGCGCGCCGCCGCCGCCGCCGGCACTTGGACCTTGTCGTATAGAATAAATGCAAAATTTATCATATTTTGCTTATTTCTCAAATATTCGTAGACTTATCACAAATGTTTAATGTGGCAATCGTAGGTTTCTCTATCCATACATTACAGTGACATTTCTGTTATAATTTCGGTGAAGGTTACCTCTGGATCCGGGAGCATTATTGCCATTACTTAGGAAATTATTAAAACAAACGTCTCGCGTAACGTACAATGACCTTAAACAAATGTGTCAAACTTTACAGACAACGATGTTCGTCAACAATAAAACTTTAAACTCGCAACGACTTTCATGATTTTAAATAACGACGCGGGAACAAATAAACGCGGCATTAAGACAAATTGAGCACAGATATAAATACTAGGACAAAATATACTTACAGCAGATTTACTAAAGTTCAACATTTCGTTGTTTAAAATCATGACAACAAATGAATCGTCACTTCGACAATTTATTTATAAATCATCGAGACAGGTCGGGATGAAATAAGATAATTACGATAAACCGTCGACTCTAGTGGAAAGTTTTAGTTTGCGCAAGTACTTTCATTTTGCGCAGTTTGCGCAACTATTTGTTATAAGTCAGGATTTTATTGGGCATTGACAGTTGCTAATTAATGCTCATTATCCAAACTAAAAGTAATGATACGCGCAACGAGGTTTCAAATCCATCAGCAACGAAGTAAAACGAAGAGAAGTATGATAAATACAAAAATAATTTATCTGATGGCTAAAATTATCATATTTCATCCGTCTCCCATTAGCAGACGCGTCGACTAATTTAGTCAACGCACCACAACTAGTCAAGTTAGTCCAGCTCTTAACTAAGTTCCCTTAAACCATATTCACAATACCAGGTCACGATAATGGCCTACTGGCTAAACCTTTGTTACTCGAACATTCTTCGATCATAGTGACTAGAGTCCGACTGGGATAGAAATTGTATGTACAACATCTGCTCGCCACTACTGACTGGATTTTGGAAACATCTGTTAGCTGTTTTATACGCAATGATTTGCAGTAACTTTACTTTAGTAGTTATCTTAAATCTTTAGCAGAATTCTAGTGTGATCAACACAAATAAATGAGGAATTTAGTTTTCCAATGTCCGTGTAGCGTCAACGTGTCACCAGTCGGACTCAATGTGACCTAGTGGTCCGTACTCTAAATAAAGGCTACTTAAAATTTATCTAGCAGTGGCCGGGCGGGCGACAGTGCGGGGGCCCGCGCCGCCATCACAACACCTTGTGCTTGCCGTTCTGTGCCGGGGGAGACCCGCCCCCGCCGCCCAGCGCGCGCTCCGCCGCCGCCGCCGCCGCGTGCTCCATGCCCTTCTCGATGCACGCCTGGTACGTCGGCTTCATTAGCTGGGAAACACATACAATATTACTAACGCGTCTAACAAAAGTGTCTTCAATGACATTGCTATACTGTTTATAAAAATAACAAAACCAAAGTTATATGAAAGTAGACACAAGCTACTCACATTTTCCCACAGCACGTTGGCGATGTCATCGATTGTGACACCGATCTCGCGCATCTCTCCGCTATACCTGTGACAAGATAGATCATCAAAGTCAACAGATGAAAAATGAAACGTGATACTATGATTAAATGTAATCAGCCAAGCATAGTAGTTACCGGATGTATGCCCAGAGCACGAGTGTGAGCAGGGCGATGCCCATGGTGAGGTTGGCGAGGTTGGCGAGTGGGTAGAGGCCGACGAGCCCGAACACTCCGCTGAGCACGTAGAACACCAGCGCCAGCGCACAGAACACGGACGGCGTGCGCGCCGCCTTGAATATGTTCTTAGACTCGTTCTGCGCTCGGAACTGGTTGAATTGCTCGTCTAAGTCCTGGAAGATTAATAACAACAAACTATTAAATACCACGAAAAATATGTAGCAATACATCGACAGTCATTCTCACAAAATAAATATCAGATTGATAAAAAAGAAATCAAGAATATTATAGATGCGACATCAAGTAGTAGTGACCTGTATTAACTGGTTGAAGTAGCTCTGACTGAACTCGTCGCCGCCCATCTTGCGCTTGGAGTGGAAGGAGTGGAGCGCCTTGTCCTTGATGCGCGAGTGCTCGGCCTCCAGTAGTTGTGTCTGCAGGTAGGGCTTGGCCCCGCCACACACCTCCTCCATCAGCTTCGTGTACAGCTCTTTCGCTTCCGCTACCGCTGTTAGATTGTTGGCTTCGGCTGTGGCCTGAGAACGACAATACAACATAGTATCACGCATATCGTTTGTGTATCTCAAGAAAAGGTTCTTAAGACAAAATGGAAAGGCGAAGTCAGAACCACTAGTATATAAATAGTATACAATACTCCAATAATAATACTAACCACAAGCATGCTCTTAGGCTCTGGCAGTTCGTTTCCCTTGTAGATGTTCATGTATGACTTGAAGTACTGGAGCAGGTCCTTGGCGCGCACCTTCTGTCCGTTGATGAGCTTCGGCACCAAGTTCTCCGGCGCCAGCAACATCGGCACCAACTGCTGCAGGGAGCATTTGAACTCCATCTCGATGTCTGCACGAATACATACAGAAGATTATTTTATTTTAGAAGAAAACATAGTATCAAAAATTACTTTAAAAGTGGTATTACGATTGCTACAGATTCGGTTAGATATCAACATCCAATTATAAGTCTATATGAAAAAACCTGGCAAGAAAAAATAGGTACCACATTTGATAGAAGTGTCACAGTAGAAATTTTTCCCTCTGCATGGGAAATGGCGCATTCCTATCACATTGGATATAAAAATTGCTCATATCAACTGTTTGTAAGGGTACCTTTGACTCTGCCATCGAAGTCCTGGCTGGTGGCGACGCGGATGCCGGGGTGCGGCATGAGGAAGCAAGCTATCTCGGAGAAACATGACGTTATGTGCTTGCGCAGGGATTGGAGCTCCGGGTGCTGGTTGGAGGACACCTGGGAAGACGAGTAGAATGTAGTCTCTTTGTATACTTTTATATCTGTCGTCAGGCAGCTGCTAAATTGGCTATATCGTGATACGCAAACACATCACGATCTGAAAATCTTACAACAGCCATATTAATCAATGTGTTTGATGATGTGACCAAGTCACTTGGGCATGTCACTTGAGTGTAGTGTCAAAAGTTTTAGGATTAAAATATTATTCTTTTTACCATTTACTATGACAAAGAATCGGATTGAGTGCTTTACTTAGGAGGAAAAAGACGAGATATGACGTTATTACGTTATTGATTGTCTACCTTGAGTCGTCTCTGCAGTATAGTTTGTCCCCCCTCGGCCCCGTAGGGCGCCTCGTAGGGGAAGCTCCAGTCCCTGACGAGGAACTGCAGTCTCTGGAAGGGCGTGCGCCCGCTGTCTTCTAGCGCCAGACGCCCGTACTCCGTGAATAACTGGAATATTACATTTTACATGTTAACTTAGACATAGCCGACACATGAAATTTACAGTTAGTGAACTGTTAAGTCATTGTGTAGAAATTATGCTGATAGTTGTAGATATGAGGAGACCGACCCCATATAGTTAGCACAGATCTATAGATGCTTCGGTGTGTGGGCGGAAGTTGTGACAGACTTCTATCGAGAATAGCAGATAGCAATACAGATAGAGATAAGGCATACAGTGATACCTGTTGCAACTTGACTCACTTATCGATAAAATATTGTACGATTACCCAATCGAAATGAGATAGTAATATCTATATTATGACATCATCTCCAAAACTCTTCATGACTATAATTAATATTACAAAATGCTTACACTAAGATAGAGAACACCACTATTACAAGGTTAATAGAATCTTATTTTTTTATCGGAATCGCATATGTCCTTACGGGTTCCCGGGGCTCCGGCTCGAAGAACAGGGTGGTTTTTAGTCAGTGAGAGTTTGATACTTCCTCTCATGTTCATCTAACCCAAGGCGGGAGAAGTCATTGGATGATTTTCCTTCCTCAAAAAAAAAATTTTTTTTATATAATAGATTTTTATATAAACGAGTACCTGTAAATGCTGGAGGTCGTCCTCCTGTATGTTCTGTGAGAGGTTGTATATGAGGACGGAGGACACCATGGTGGACAGCGCGAATATGGTGGCACAGTCTCGCACCGTGGACTCACTGTCGAAGGCACCCTGAGTGTCCAGGAGGATTATCGCTACCTGAAACCAGTGCAGTTTTGTTTAGAACAACTGATTTTTTATGCATTAGGAGAGTCTCTTTAGTAAAAAAAAGCCAATTGTCCTATCGCATGAGCGCATCCACAAACATAGATTTTACACATGTTTGATGTCTGTGTGATGTCTGTGTGGATCCACACACAACCGGTGTACGTACCTTCTCCCCGTTATCGAGCGTGGCCTTGAAGATCTCTGACCACATGAGTATGCCGGTGGTGTCCCGCTCGGAGCCGCCGCGCCAGTTGAAGCCCCGCAGCGGCTCCTCGTCGCCGCCCAGCCAGTCATTGCCGCCGTCAGACCCATACTGGAATATAGACACGAACTTTTCAATTAATCATGTCACAAGGTCGCGATTATGAACATGATAGCAGAGTCTGAAATCTTAACTGATTGATATGCACAGACGAACTGCCAACGCGTTCAGAATATAAATATTTGTTGGGTTTAAGTTATAAGATACAATATTTATTTTTAGTACAAAAGCAACATCTTTATACATACACCAAACGATGAGCGTTTTCTTTGTACATAAGAAAGAACTTGGACGTGCTGGCCACCGTAATTTCTTTATTATATTTTCAATTTAATAGTTTTGATACAAACTCGAAAATCCAATGAAAAAATTGACAGTTTAGAAGACACTGACCTGCTGGTGATTGTACTAGAATGTAATGTTAGAATAATGTTAATCAGTGCCACATACCTTATGATTCAAATAACGCAAGAAGAAGTCGAGCAAGAAGGACTTGCCCTTGCGGAAGGCGCCGGCGACTGAGAGGACGACGACAGGTCTGTCCTTGATGTCATCCTGCAGCAGAAGTTCCTTGAGCACGTCCTCGTCGAGGGTGAACGTGTGGTCGACGCCGGTGTTCACCACCTGCACCCCGTGCGGGCCGCTGCGAGGCGCCGGCGTCGGCTTCTCTGTCACTGGAGATTTTAATCAATTACATATTTTTAATTGAATATCTGAATAAAGTGTCATACATTTATTCAGGATACTTTTGTTTTGTTAAGAAACTACACATGGGAACATACATACGGAATTACAGTATATAGAAAAGAGATATTTTAGATATGTAATTTTAATATAAAGTGAGTAGGTTAATAGGTGAGAATGCATCTCTCAATATAAGAATAAAGAATTATTTTCTTGCAATGAAACCGTATTTTCTTTTTATCTTTCACTAACGATTGTGACGGTCATCTTTACAATCTGGTTCAGAGTTTATGCTTCAAACGCATTTGTAAAATCACAAAACAATTTCTGGATATTTCTAAACAATAAAGACTCAATTAACACAAGCGAGTAAATTAACGACAATGATAAGTTTATGGCCGAGTAAATCATAATTAGCTGTGTAATGGGGGCAACGACAACTTAACTGGCATTTTGGCTGAACACCAAAATAGTTCATTTGTTCCCTATGCTATAAACACGAAGAGCCAATATTGCGACGATGTTTTATGCAGTAAAAATCAACTGACTACTGTGTAATTTCGACAAATTAAAGCTCGTATTCGTAAACACCTCTCTTAAATTTCAAGGAATCCATAAGCCAAGATAGGTGACCCTTAACTACATTTTGGTTTTCACCAAACTATAAGTGTCACTTAACTGTACAGGTAAGCGGTTAGTTTAGGTTCTAAATCACGCTAAGTATTTATTTGTTAAGATATGGTTAAGGAGTGGTGAAAACGGTCATTAGAGACTTGAAAGATCAAAAATCTAAATATAAACGCACTGAAATGTACTGAAAATATTGTAAAAGTATAAATTCAGACTTAATAATGTATAGTATACTGTATAAAAGAGTGTGGCATATTAAAATAGTTGACTCGTCAAGGTAAACAAGCTACTGAAATATCAGGTGTAGGCAACACGTCTATAAAAAATATAGTTTCTCACGACACTACCTATGCGAGTAAAAGTGCGAGGTTAAATACAATAAGTTATCTTCTTTCGGCCTCAGGTCGCGTATCGGAAGGTCGAGGATTAACAAGAGAGATAACGAGATATATCTAGGTTTTTGCATTGAGATAAACTAATATATGTATTGCACGACAGCCGCCATTGGGTACAAGTTCTTTGTTTATGTATCTTTGTGTAATGCTCAACGATTAACTGTCAGATAGAACGTCAAATGTATGTGGTTTCGATTCAAATCAACTTTCACTAGTTCTATCTGGTATTCCATGAAAATTCAAAACACACTCGATTTCGTATCTACTTACTATTTTAGTTGTTATTTTGGGAATTACAAATGCATTTTATCAAATAACAATTACTAGTGCCTGTCCGACTATCTCTCTTCAATTCTAATCGTAAAAAGTGTGCTGAAAGACAGAAAGAAGTAAAAATACTTGACATTTTTAAAAATCTGTTTCGATACTGTATATACTGTAGTCAAGGAACATAACATTAAGGACAGATGGCTGGAACCTTTTACAATAATTACGACAATGCCAACCGAACGAAATTACGCGAAATGTCTCATTTCTTACTGAGGACGTTTCGAAATATCGTGGAGAAGTAATGGTGGTAATGCGACTGATGAAATCTACATACAATAGTCAATACATAGTCAGCGCCTGTCTAGGTGATTCAGCGGTAATGTACACAACTATTGACATTATCCTATCAAAGATAATATACGGAGATTGTCACATCACACGTAAACATTTATAATTTTATAAGTCCCAGTATAATCTGCTAAAGTACTCAATATTTCCCATATGAGTTAAAGGATTTTGTCAATGACATTCTTAGATATGAAAAACAAAATATGTACTGTCAATTGACTTTAGAGCCCTTTTCATAATAATGTCGTGTATGAAATGACGAGAAATCACCACTTACATTTTAGAATAAATAGTACAAGTCTTTAGTTTATAGAAATAAACGCATTAACTCCGACTTTGATTTTTACCTCTATTCTTGAGTTCGAAATTCATTGTAGTCCATAACATTATTTACGGCAAGGTCGTGCCTTACGTACAGTTTCGCATAAATACTTTTTGTTTCGATGTAACTAATCAACTTATGATATTAGTGGGGTTTCCAATGATACAAGTTCAATGACACTAAGGCAAGGTTGAGTTCATGAAAGACATAATATCTGGAGGTATTTTTCCACTGTTTAGAGACACTTTTTTGTTCTAACGCAGGTACTTTATGGCTCAGTGTATAAATAATGAATCCATGTAGCATATTTGAAAGCGTAATGTACATTGTATTACACTGTGAAAGCTTTTTGAAGACTTGACATCAAGTATGTTAGTGAGGCAATTTCTTTAAAAAGTTCTGTACGCATTGTTTTTATATCGCATTTGAATATGCGCCAGGATAAAGCAATCCTAATATCTGGTAGCATATTAATTCTTAAGCTTTTCAGTACATGACCACCAGACCAACAAAGGCAATAGTTAGTCATAATATTTAACAATACTTGCAGGCAGACAATATGATTCAGTGTGAACAGCTGCAGTACTTTCGCGATACAGATAGTGGACGATAAAAAGAGGCATGTAATAAACGATAAACTTTATCGTACTTTTATTATGGAGTTATGGAGGAACATCACGTTTCGTAACTACGCTACTAGCCGCTGTATACTGTATTACGTACGGAGGAGATTTATGATCGGAATACGGGAGTATATACCTCTAGAAGAGATAAATACGTGTTAGTTATCAATGATAACTACTTTTCTGCTAAATTACATGAGGTCTTTGCGTTGTATTTATCTTCCATTCCTGAACCAAACGTAATCTCATCATTCACGTTATCTTTTATTGAACTACAAAGATTTTACCGTAAATCTCTTTTGTATGTAGTTTGTACGTATGCACTATTTGCAAACTCAATTACATAGTATCGACTTTTCATTGACGATATTAGTAAGTTAGTTTGATCGATAAAGAGTTTTGTTATAGGTAGTAATGAATATGTTAGAAAAATACATATTTTTGGTTGTAAACTTACGTGGAGCCTCGACCCTGGCAACAGGTTGTGACAACGCTAGAAACAATAAAAGAAAATATACATAAGTAACTGTACGACATACTATCTAAGGGATATCTACGACATTTATTTAATGGGATAAATTATAATAGAGTTCTCCGAACTCTTTGTACTTCTTGAATTAATATGACATCTTCTCAAAAGGTTTTCTTATGGGTTCAAGGCTAAATTTAAGGTTTTCCTGTTAAATACGCCCTAATTCTTACTAAAAATTACTTGATCTCAGATAATTCTTCTCCTTTTCTTTCAGGCAGTATCTGATCGTTCATCTAATTTTTACATATTTTATTTTATTAAAAAACCCATGAACGTTTAATACATTGTTAAAATAATGAAAAAAACAACGACATCAATGACAATGTACACCTACATAAATCCTATTTAAAACTCGTTCAAGAATCAACCAGCTCGATAATGTATGCAACGAGAAAGAAATCGATTAATTGGCAACACAGACCAAGTAGGTCAGTAGAACTACAGCATATTCAAATATTGTATGTTGGCAACACGGAAGTATGTAACAATGGATATCCTCGGGTACTAATTACTAATAATTTGTACTTAGAACAACGGAGGCTTGCGTGCGAAGGTCAAGAAGACTATGTCCGTGTATTCCGGAGAAGTAGTGTCCTAGTAGCGAATTTGCAACTTATGGTCGCCATTTATGGTAACCTATCCATCGGCAGATATGGTTACTAGGGACATCATTTTGTAGTATGGAGCTTATGTCAAGTTTGCTCACGTAGTGTAGAAAATAGATTTCGGTAGCGTGCTAGTTGAAACGTCTATCATGAATTATCAGAAATAGAGTATCTTGATGATTTTTTACACACAGTCAGACCTTTCATTAACCGATAGAAAGAGTTCATCTATTTGAAACATATTGTAAACAAACCTCTTTATGTAAAAAGGTCGTCGGTTCGTTTCCAGTGACCCGCAAACCTAAAGCAAGACCCATAAAGGCTGTGTAGGTTTCAAAATGTTCAGGTACGTGTGAATAATTGAAAACCGCCTACGTATCGGATTATATTGAGCCTTTCTGAATGGCGAATGTAAATATGTCAGTAAATATAAATAAAAATGTTTCGATCGAGAAGATATTCGGTCAACAGGACAGAATTAACGATAAGTCTGATTAAGCGACGTATTTTTGTGCCGCCGCAGTTTACTGATTAATAACTTTAACTAAATAATATAATACTAAAACAAGCTTTTTACTCCCGAGACAAAACAGCATATTTACCAAAATAAAAGTATTGATACGTAAAACGTTTTCACTGTTTATAATATTGAATCCCACGTAAAATGCGGTGAACCTATCGCCATACATTGGTCAAAATCTCGAGAACGAGGGGCGTTCGATAGTCGTTCTCGACAGTCAAACTAATTACACAAATACATGAATATCGAATAACAAAAACATTGGAACAAGTTGGACGTCTGTATCGTGTAATTCAATAATACATTAACAACGCAGTAAGAATGTTTCGTATTAATTCGTAACGCATCGATACACCTTTCTTCGATTAGCTAGCGGTAACTGATAATATGAGAATGTTATATTTGATTGATACGATTAATGCTAATTTTACTGTTTTGCTAAGAGTAAGAATGGTTAAAAATCTAGAGACCTTGAAACTTTGAGAACTACTTTACTAGATACGTGGTTATTAACCGCTTGAATGCACCGATATGAGACACAATATAAAATACATTGTGTCTCGCGGGGACCCACGTTTAGACACACGACAGGATAAATGAAGACTTTAGCACTTTCCACAAAAGGTGCTATAGGAAAAAAGGTCTGTTATCCAATAGAAAAGTTTAACATTCAATTTTTTATAATATCTACATTCAATTGGACAAAACACACTTCTTCATTCCATATGTATTGATACAAAGGTATCTCGGTTAACTGACAAGTGACAAGTTAATAATAGATAAAGAATCAAAGCTTTCATTTTTTAGGAGTACAAATATAATTTTTGACTGCATTTAAAATTCAGAAAGCAGTTCTAATATATCAAAGGACGTTTTATAGTGGACTGTGAGCTATACATTCTCCGTAATAGAAAGTAGTCACACTAGTTCCTAGTTATATGTCCATCAGTCGTTCTCAGAACCACAGCAGCCACTTACTACTGATACCTACTATTATAAATGTCATTAAGTGTCATCGTATGGTTTCCCCATACTTGGCAACAACATTGTGATTAACAGTTAATCTGTTCGATACTTATGTTATAGAATTTGAATGGTAACTACACTACTACCTAAATATATTTTTAGTTAGTGTTTGCGAAGATTTTTCCTTCAACAGTTTTACTGGCTGTAGTTACATTTTTAATAGCTTTGACGTCTAGATATCTATTAAAAGATTATGGCATTTCTATCTAAATGATTGTGTAAACAATGAGTGTTAAATAAATACAAGTATTGTTAAACTCTTACTAATAAAGAAAAATATAGTAAATGTAAACACTTGGCGACAATGACGTAGATACATGTAAACTTGTAGCTTTTTGTACGTGTATGTAACGTAATGATGGTTAAATCAGATGAACTTTGTATCATGTGAAGGACTATGATTTTATTTACATACCCCATAAATCTTATGGAGACTAAGCAATCTTTGAATAAAGATCAATGATGAATGAAAATCACCTCTAAACTAATCAAAGGTGATAATATCTTGCATAAGAATATTCAATGCAATAAATATGTAACAACAAAATACTAAATAAACATGTATACTACTAAACCTGTTTAATAAACAGATATGTTCAACAAGAACATTATCTTCTAAACAAGCCATCAAATACTTGGCCACGCTGACACGCAGTAAGGTTACAGTCCCACGGTTAAAATTGACCAATTTACTCATTTACTGCAATTAGATTCATACGTACGACTATGCACACGATTGGCGGACTCTATACTCACTTGTAAATAAGCTAGAGCAATGAGTATGACAAATACAACTTTAACAGTAGTAGCAGAATAGAAGGATCTTATTATTTGACACAATACAAAACAGCTCTAATTTGTGGTCACCCGTAATCTCGGCTCATCGAATATTTTACTTGAAGCATGTGCAAGAATAGACGATACACCTATTACAAGTGCATAAGTCTAATTCAATTAAAGAACATTGGAGTGAATACCAAAGAATTAATACTTGAGCTAATGTTATTAGTTTCACGACAAACACACCTGTCGGCATGCGATCAACGCATCGTACGGTGCCAAGCATTCACCGACTATCGTGGTACTTTTACTTTATCTTTAATACCGGGTGTTATTGAATATTCTATAGTGTACCGTGGTGGCCTCGCCATGCATGGACCACCATGGATGCAATAACTACGTGACATTAATTGATGTATCCAGTATAAAATTTTTTGTCGGTAATGTTGCATCGTGTCTACTAATAGGAGCCATGAGAGTAATCGACCTTGAAAGGGTCCACAAAGACAAAACGTAATAATTTACTAAACAATTCTTCTGGAGAATTCAACGCAACGCCTCAACACTAGTCATAATTCTATTGAAAGACAATCTTAGATCATCCGACGAGCATCACTTCAACAATGACATAAGCACATGCTTCATCTCAAGATCAGAGTAAACGTCTTGATGATACAATATACAAATACAACGAGGACCAAGAAGGTCTTTGACAGCAGAATATTTACAAGCGCAGACATCGATTTATACAACATTCGACACATGATGTTAAATACTCCAGTTCGGAAAGGTAAACACACAGACAGACACACACACACTTACTTTGTATGTCTTTATAATTGACACGCAAACTCAGCTTGCCTACCACCTCGCCTGGAACACAAGTCACAGAGTTCAAATGCTTGCAATAAAAAGTCGCCAGGAGACAAAAAAGATAGAACCAGTCTGGTTTTGCGTCAGCACTCTAGTCGACACTCGAAAGATATTTATTTACTAGTTAATAGTACCAGTATTGGCACCAATAGTTTGTAATACATAGGCGATACTTTAACATTGGTAGACAGATCCCTCCTATAAAAAATCTGTCATGTTTTTGCCTGTAATTTAGGTATTTGCTGAAAACTATTTTGTCATTCGTAAGACCCATTGGTGTCAGCTCACAGCCGTGCAGTAACCAGCTGACACTTTCACTGACTGCAATGATTATGTGTGCAATGAGATATTACCGATGCACACGAAACACAGGTCTGGCGAGCTCCCAAACTTGAGGCAAATTATGTCAATAACCTGCTTGGACCGGTTCCAATGATTCTTTTCGCGGAAACATTCGGAAACTATTCATCTGCTTCGATATATTTTTATGGATTTTCTTCCTAATGAGGCTGAACGTTTCAGTATTGCAATTTGGCATCGAAGCCCTTAAAACAAATTAACATAGACCATTCTGTCATGAGCTATTTCAATGGTAAGACTGAAGATTCTCAGTCATAAACCATAAAAAGATTCGGGCAAGACAACAAAACGTTTGAACTGTTAATTAAAATACAATTAGAATTCAGCCTAGTTTAAAAAATATAAACGAACATAATGTGTTGATAATTTGTCTGTTTCAGCGAGTTAATTTGCAGTGGCAACAAGAACCTTAGGCGTATAGAAGTATAGAGGAAGATTAAGAACCATTTTGCAATTATTAACCCCAACAAAATTCGATTTCGATTCTTCGATTCTTGCTCAGGTCTGTAGCTGTCAAAGTATAGCTTTACATGATTCATGTTAACATCCACGCTGAACTATGTTACAGCTGGCATGTACCCAACGTCAGGGAGTCGGGTGCTGATTGAAAATACTTCTGTTGCGTGAATCGTATACGTACTTGAATTTTCGACACTGATGGATGAATTTTATGGCATGTGGATGAAAATAGTATGTACTATTTAAAAATAAAATCATGTGTACATTGTACAAGTAATGGAAGGCCAGTAGGTAGCTCTACCCTACATTCTGAGACAAATATTACCTATTGCTATTTCCGCCTCGTGAAAATACATTACAGACTGTTCTAATTGCGAATTATTGAATCAGACTTATACATAGTTCATAAGATGCAAGACAACCGTCAATTTTAAAGACTTTGTAGTCTTATTTGTAAGAATATCAACTACAGATATTATCTCAAGGAAATCCTTTGCCAAATGACATTGAACTTTCGATAAAAAGATAATATGAAATTGGTGGCAGTATGCGAGGTGAATGGAAGCTAATCGTAATGAAACTGACCGTATTACCGACTAATGTAATTAAGCCATTAATCTAGTGGTGAATGAAAATACATCTTGCTGTACACCGGCTATTATGTGAGGGTTTAGAGGTCAAACAAGTGCGTCATTAAGAGTTCCTTACAATGAGCATCTAATTAGCCATTTTGACAAAACCGAAGACAATTCGTCCAAAGCAAGAAACGACTGTGTTAATTGATTTTCTTTATACACTTTCGTATATGGTGAAACCTCATCGATGATTCATCTAAATATGTCAAACAAAGCGCATTAAAACTGCAGTGTGTCCGTTCTTTGTCGGCTATAGTGGTAAGAAAGAAATCGGAAAAGAAACACTGACGATTGTCAGGCGCAGGCGACTCTTCCCACAAGAACGTGAGAATAGCTTTAAAGAATAATATGAATCAAAACAATCGCAGGTTTCCGTTGTTGCACGTAATAACTATGCAGGAAAATAACTATGTACAAGATTGTCACCTTATACGGGAACTGACAAAATGATCAAGGATAGAAAATAGTTTTTATCCGTATTAATAAATTTATTTTTAATGGGACTATTGCGTATTAAGGTGACAGGAAGCATGTATGTAAGCATTTAAGCATTGTAACTGCAATAGGGACACATCATGTGGATAAGTCAGGTGCCATAGATTCTGAATACTGCGAAAAGTAAATCTCTACCATACGTTGAATTTCGTTGTAGAAAGAAAATGTGGAAACTGCCAACCCTAAACCAAGTCGTAAAAGGTCCACAGAATATTAAAATCACGCGAGTGAAGTCGCGTGTAGCATTGACTATAGCTATCATCAGTCGGCCAATGGAATAAATTATCACTTTATCAAGTAAACTCGAGAAAGATTATTCAAATGAGGACGTTGAACCAAAACTAATGATGTCATATAATGCTCTAAATACCGTTAGTGTACATACTACACTTTGTTTGGCTTTATTGAAGTAACAACATGCCATTACACGAGTGACAACAACTAAACACAGCTAGGAATTTGTTCGAATGGGGACAATACTGCGAAGAATACTAATTTTTCTTTACATTGTCTTGAAAATACGTATTCGCTACTGAGCTAACTTATTTTTATTATACGTTGTAAGAGATTAATGGCCTTGAAAATTGTTTGAATAGTTTATTAAATACAGGAAACTTGGTGCAGCGATGTCGATAGCAACTCTCATCATACAAAAATTACCTAACAGGATATCAGGAAATTGGTCAACCATTGAATGGACAATATTTTAACAAAACAGAAGGCAATAATTAATCTCATTCCATTTACCCGCCGTCATTAATAAGCACCGATAAAAATGTAAATTATGCAATAGGATATGAATACTGAAATATTGCGTTTCAGTTGTCCAAGAAATTTTAGATTGACCTTCAAAAATGTTGCAACCGAAAGCAATGTAGCGAAGCCTTGAAAACCAGACGATATTTTACGAATTTGATATTTTCTGTTTATTTTAATTCTTCAGTAAATAAAGACTTTGGGGCTTTGGATATAACTTATAAATGTCTGATAATCCCGATTTAGTCACATTATAGTTACCACTTAATTGTTATATAAAGGCTATTTGGAAGATCGGTTAAATTATAGATTTATTTTCATTAAACTTTAGCATCACTCCAGTTGAAACTAACACTAGTAGCTATTATCCTTTTGATAATGAATTAAAGATATCAACTAATTAAACGGAAATGCAAAGTATAACACTATGTATAATGTTTTAAATAGATAACTTATCGCTTATATCTAAACCTGTAACGAATTAAACCTCTGATACCAGAGCCTAAGATAATGCCTACTTTTACGATGTTTTATCAAATAAACTGTTATCACAATGAAGGAAATATACGTATCATAATAATCATTGTATCTAGCACCTCATTGGACAATATTTGAATACTGTTCGGTAAGTCAAGGAAGAGCGCGCCGGCGCCGATAAAAATTCAAATAGAAGTATTGAAACAATTTGTTTTCCACGCTTGACAAGAGGAAAAGTAGGCGTGTAATCAATTCCATCCGATACGCACAAGCTGCAGGTTGTCATAAAAAATAATTTAATTAATCAATTTATTAGATTAGAGAACAAGTTATAGTGGGCAATAAAGTTTTATTATAATTAAACGTAATGACATATTTTAACTTTAACACGTTTAAACAGATACAATAGAGCCCAATAAATTCCTTAACACAAACTAATCATTGAGAGAAAATGTGCTACAATCTCCTTTCATTAATTGTACAAACATACGCATACAAATACTCACACACACACACACAAATACACACACACACACAAATACACACACACACACACAAATACACACACACACACACACACACACACACACACACACAAATACACACACACACATACACATACGCACTCACACATAGCTTATTGTATTTTTATATATTTAATATGTATTTACTTTTTATATATTGCTAGTATATTATATCTATTGTAGGTATTTTTATTTTGTCTTTTTTTATTGTACACTTAACTACCTCATATCTGGTTTCTTATAAATATTTCCATCCAAAGGTTGTCTGGAAGAAATCACCATTGTGTGATAAGTAAGACCGCCCATTGTACGCATATTTACTTGAATTGATTGTTTTTAAGCTACTTAAATGTGTTTAATAAAGCATATATGTATAAAATAAGTACAAATACTGTAGTTAAATATTACTGTTTCAATAAATTGGCTCAGGGAACTAGTCGTTACGGAGTCTGCAACAAGGCCTGTATAGTCCTAACCAGTAACCTTATATCTTTAGTAGTACAGACTACAGACAAATATTTCAACTGTTCACATTCTCACAAAGATAACGGTTTTGCCAATAAGACTAGTTCTGAATTGTCTCTAATGGTATTATACTTGCCGTGTTTCTGATAGCAACGCTCGCATACTATGAATGGGTGTAATAAGCACATTTGTCTATTACAGTGCCATATTGTTGTTAATTATGGTTTAACTGATTCAATTTGTATTCACTATCACTATATAGTATAAAACAAAGTCGCTATCCGCAGTCTGTCTGTCCCAATGTATGCTTAGATCTTTAAAACTACGCAACGGATTTTGATGCGGTTTTCTTTAATAGATAGAGTGATTCTTAAGGTAGGTTTATATGTATAATACATGCATATTGCACCCGTGCGAACCAGGGGCGGGTCTCTAGTAGTAAATAAAGTAAAGCTAGCCGCGGAGGACTTCACGGGTTGCCGGGGCTCCGGCTCGAAGAACAGTAGTAAGAACAGGGTGGTTTTTAGTTAAGAAGAGTCTGACACTCCCTCTCGCCTTACCCAAGGTGGAAGGAGTCATTGGATGATCTTCCCCACTTAAAAAAAAGTGGAGACTAAAACTCTTGACAACGGAGTGAAATAGCAACAAAACAAACGTATGCCATTAGAAGACAAAAATTGTAGCTGGAGTTATTTTTAATACACTATTATGATATCGTATACAAATAAACTAATATTGTAACATAACATCACGCCTTTTATCCCCGAAGGGATAGGCAGAGGTGCATATTACGGCACTTAATGCCACTGTACAATGTTACACCCTCTTTTCACTATTTATGTTATGTGTCCCATGTAATAGGGGGTGAGCCTATTGCCATGTATCGGGCACATTTCCAGACTCCGTGCTACTATTGAGATTTTTTTTAAAAACCCAGTAGTACTTTGCTCTACCCGGGAATCGAAGCCGAGACGCCTTGCCGGACAGTCGCACTTGAAATCACTGGGTCAACGAGGCAGTCTAAGATTGTTTCACTACAGTAAACTAGGAATATGTTACGTGACCATGTTAAATAAATAATGTTAATATCGATCGTCGGCCGAGGGTCAAATGCTACTACTAAATATTTAACCCCTGCAATGATGCACGAACAATAGGAAATGTGTTTAGTCACGTTCGTAGGCCTATAATCTCGCTTCAGAACCATTGTCAAATGTGAAACCATTGTCAATTATTTGAAATTGGACAACAATAGTCGGTTATCATGAGAGCTGTGTTGAATTGATCTAAGTCTGCGATTGCCACTTGACCTAATAATCCCGCGTATGTTTTGTGACAAATGCTCTATGTACGATATATCTAGAGTCTTTTCAAATATGTATGTTTACCGATTCCGTTATATTTAGTACAGAGACAGTTAGGATGATCTAAGGGACAGTTACAAGATATACTATTATGTGAATAATGAAACAACTAGCGTTTAATTTATGCTAAAAAAAATGCTTGTTAAAACAAAAGTACCCTTAACCGACGAGCATGCATCAAAAGATTGATGACTGTTGATGAAGCAAAAGAGATATATAAGAATCGTAGCAATTAGCGTTTGACAGTCTCTGCCTACCCCCACGGGAGACAG